TTTATCCTCCCTCTACATGTTACCAACTGATGGTCCATGTCTTGAAGTTTTCTGTTTGCCCATCTCTTACCCTGGCTATATCAGAGCTTTTCTTCCAATGAGTGAAAGGGATGACTGGGATCTCATTCTGAGAATGATCATTTTAGAGATTATTATAGGGTGAGCCATTCTCTTTCCCAGCCTTTCACTCATGTGTGATAATAATGTGGGTGTTGGAAAAGAATGCAGTGTAAGAAATGATTGGGTTATTTTCTAACTTTACTTTTCCAGTAGCTTAATCATACCACTGTTACCTATTTTATCATGGTACAGATAGAACAGTGCATGATGCGAGCTGTAACTTGCATGAATGTTTTTAGTTTACATGCATAAGTTTATGCTGTATTTATTAGGAGGGACATGCTGGCTAAGAACTTACTGACATAAGACAGGCAAAGTCAAAATCTGTGTTGGCAGTTAACATTCTGACTTCTCACGTGGACAACTCAAAATCCTCCAAACACCTTATCAGGGCTTCAGTTTGTCTTTTTTCTCAATACATGTGAAAAGAGGGTGATCTTTCTGCTACTCCTTGGAGTCAAATCATGGTGATAAATGCACATTTGGGATGGGGAGAGAGATTTTGAACAGTAACAGGCTGTTTAAAATCAAGGGATTTTCTGATGGTTGTGAGTGGGGGTATTTTAATGAGAGTGGATGAGACAGTCTTGGAGCATTTTGTGTTCTGGTATTGATTGCAGAAGAGAAGTGGCTGGCCAGTGGGGCTTTGTGCTGATGCTGCAGTCTGTAGTGGATATGGGCAGGATTGAGGCCTTGTAAAGTATATATATATATCTGTAACTTCAGCTCCTGACTAGAATGCAAGAACACTGTATGTGATCATGAAGTATATTGCTAATCTTAGCTAATGGATCCCAGTAAATGATTAAGTAGCCTAGAAAGCTTTTAGTCATGTATGTTGTCTCTATGGAAATATCTCTGATGGATCATTAGTGTTCTAATTGAGGCAAGTCACTGTGATTCTTTCTGTCTAAAAGTTATCATTACTGCCCTATATAAAACCTGGAGCCTGACTATAATACTATAACCTGAACTGCCTGACTGTGAGTAGTTGTTGGCTCATGGTTTGGAGATAGAATAAAGCATGTTTTCTTCTGTTCTGCTTTCAAATGGCTGTATAGCTATTTGTAGGGGCTGATTTCAGTATAGACTAAAATACGCTATAGAAAACTAGTCATTGTGACCTTAGCTGGGAACTGTACTCTGTTAACTTCAGTGGCAGCCACAAGCACTGTTTAGGAAGGCAGGTGGAACTTCTCACATCCTGTGAAGCCTGTAGTCCCTGGTCACACTACAGTATAGTCTGTGGGTCTGAAGTGTCCCAAGTGCCAGGTGTATCTCAGGCAATGTTGTTTGTCTCTATGCCTCATTGTGTGTGTCTTTGGATACTAAAAAAAAACAGTGTATGTTACGTGCCAGCACAATATTACAGTGTTTGAAGGATTAAGTAAGCTGCTTTATTCAGATGTACTTCCTGTAGGACTATCAGCTACAACCATGGAGGCATGTGGGCTTTATCATGTGGTAACTTACTAGTTTTAATGTAATGTATCATGTTTACTTTCCTTAGATAATGAACTGAATATTGAAAGTTTCAAAATAAGCCTGAAGTAGAAAACAGACATCCTCATGGATTTTACTGAATTAAGTATAAGAAACTTGTAATGAGTGGTTGCTTGGTGGAATTTGTAAAGATGTTTTTCTTAGTTGCTATTCCCTGATCTGGTTAATACCATGAAAATGTAACACTCCATTTCCTTTGTCTCCCCTCCTTGTCACAGGTGCTGTTCAGTCAAATGGACAGGTTCCCCAAATTGTTTGTCATTCCAGTGCAGAATTTCCAGAGGCTCAGAAGAAAGCAGATACATCAGGGGTACAGGTGAGCAGTTACAAGCAGTGCAGTAGTTAAATGTCACCTGTGAAACAGTTCTTCAGGTTTGTTTTTCTTCACACACTGTCTTTCCTACTCACAGTGTACTGTTATTACAAGCATTTGGCTCCTGGGCAAAGTGGCTGGTTCCCTGCTGCCCCTTTTTGGGTTTTACACACTGCAAATAGTGTGCCTGTAGCCCAGAAGCAAGGAGCCAGTGATGGGAGGTAAAGGCACAGTCACCCATCACTTTTATTCTTCAGAACAAGCTTTGAGTTCATGTAGCAGGATAGGGATGTGCCTACTGGGAGTCTCAAAGAGTCTGTGCTGCCAGAACCTCAGTGTAATTTCCTGTGTCTACCAGAAAACAGGTCTTGCCTTAGTAGCACAAAGGGTGTAGTACTGTTTTCAGCAGGGAACACTGCGCACAGCTGAAGATGAATGTGTAAGAAAGGAGAAAATGTGAAGATATAAAACATTACATGTTTTCATTAGGCTCTAAATGAATTTCTTGGTTAAGCTCCAGATTTTGACTACTTGCACCATCTCTGGCTATAAAAATATCAGCAGGGTACAGTGTGAGGACTTCAGAAACATCCTACAGAAAAAATAAACCCTGCATATGTTTGCAGTTCATTATTCATTCCCTCCATCATGCATAAAGTGCACAGGACAAGTGAAATGAAATTTGTAGAATTTTTCTGCCACCTGCATTGTGTGTTCTGTGCTTCTTGTTTCTGTCTTTGTAGAGTTCCTCTTTTAAAAAGATTTGTTTCTCTGTTCTGAACCTTACTTCCTCTGGAACAGGTCACATTCTCAGAACGCAGCCAGTGGTTCCCTCCTCCTGCATCTCATTTACTTCCATCTTTGTAGGCAAGGAAAGTGAGGAAGAGAAGGCTTAGAAGTTATACTTAGCTAATGCCAGAATTAGTACTGCTGACTGCAGGGTTGCAGAGCGCTTTTCTTTAGCAGAAGCAAACACATTGCTTAGCAAACATTGCTTTCTTCATCTCTCAGTTTCTATAAGCCTGGGACCAAGGGAGCAAGCTGAAGTCTTTTAGAGTGCACCATGCTACAGTCAGAGCTCTAAGCTAGCTGGGGCTAACTTGATAAATTAGCATAGCTAGAAACGCATTATGTTACAAATCTTTGTTTTCAGGACAGCAGACTTCTCCACAGGTTTAAAAGAACAGACTGTGTGTAGTAACTGTAAACAGCTACTAGTTGCTACCTGAAAAAAAGAAGAGCAAATCATATTCAGATATCACCAAATGGGCTTTATTTACGTTCAGAGCTAACAAAAGAAAAGCCACATAAAATTTTGTCAAAATAAACATTTCCATAATTAACTGCTACCCTGCATTTTATTTTTATCAACTTGTATGATGGATGCTTTGATTCATTTTTTCAAAAAGTTGTCAGAGGATTTGATTGCCTCATGACCTTGCAAACATGGCTACAACTTCATAGCTTCAAGGACCTGTTTGTCACACTACTGATTTGAAAGCGGATGCAGTATGGACCTGTGCCTTGCCCAGCAGACAAAAGACACCTTCCCCAGGCTTATCAGTGGCCCTTGCCAGGTCACTACTGAAGCATCTTTCCTATACTGTGCACGGCAGAGTCATGACAGATGGAGCTTTCCAAGTGCCTCTTCCTAGTGCTTGGCAGTGCTCTCCCACCCACACAGAGGGGGCCCAGGGCACTTTCCTGCAGGTAAATGCTTCACACCGTGCCACAAAGTGCTGGGGACAGCAGATACAGGCATGTAAACTTTATATTCCCAAGTCTGTCCATCTTCTTCCCGGTTCACTGCTGCTGTGTCTGGTGAGTTTGGCAGATAGGTGACTTCATTATTTTAGTTTGATCCAGAGATCCAGCAGTTGCTGCTAGAACAAGAGGTGGAAATACAAGAGCCAAAACTACATCTGCTTTTTATGTTCTCAAATCTTGCTCAGTATTTTTGGATGTAAAAACACAGCACAGATTTTATTTTTATTTAAGTCTTCATGTTCTCAGGGAATAAACAGCAGGGTGGAAGATCAAGAAAACATCTTTACATGTGTTAGTAACTGCAGTTGTTTGAGATTTTAAAAGCACTCAGTTTCTGAGGACAGCACTCAAAAGCATTATGAATACTGTTAAAGGTCTGTAGGCAGCTCCAGAAAGAAAACAAAATACTATTGGCACTCTTCAGGCAAAATGTACTATACTTCATTTTGCTGTCTGTCTGCTGCAGTCTTCTCATGGATTTTCACATCTTTCACTGTTCTCAAGCAGTGGCATTAGTTTACATGTGCACTGACTCTGTATTATCCTTTTATTCCTTCTGCTTATTAAAGGCTAACTCAAATAACATCAGTGTACCTGGCCTGGTACAGCCAGTGATGAGGCCACAGAAATTCCAGAGTAAGAGGAACTTGCTGCAGCCGCCTCCTCCTCCACCAGAAAGGCGGTCATCTGCTATTTCTGCTTCACCAATTCTACCCTCCAAAGTCAAAAGAGACAGCGGCATTTTCCTAACAGATCCAGACATCTTTCCAGCACCACCACCTGCATTGAAGGTTGATTTTCCACCACCACCATCTGATTTCTGTGAACCTCCTCCTAATTTTGTGCCTCCACCACCAGCCTCTAGCAGCAGCAATGGAGATGTGCCATTACCCCCTCCACCTCCACCCGTCTCCACTAAGCCACCACCTCTGACAAAGAAACCTGTGCCACTTCCATCAAAAAGGCTGGAAAACACTGGACAAGCTGGAGAGCCACGGTCAGCTGGGCCACTTCCAACTGGGGGTGGAGGCAGGCAGGCAGATTTCATGTCTGACCTAATGAAAGCTCTTGAGAAGAAAAGGGGCAGCAACTCCTGAACTCTGGAAGCAGGTGAACTTCAAGCCATAGCTGTTTGTGAGTCAGCATGGTAAAGTTGTGTTGGATCAGGCTTCTCCAGGAGGAGTTCTCCTTCAGAGTTCCTCCTGGGAGGGTCTCAGGAAGTAAGATGGGGTGCCCTCTCTCCACCTCTTTGTCCCTGTAACTTGCCTCTTCTGCCCCTACCCCTCCATTATTAGCTACCATTCTGCCATCAGACTGAGGTAAGAATTGGCTCTAGTCTTGCTTCACTCCATAAGGACAGCCAGGGGTGGTGGAGCAGCACTCACAGAGCCAGCCAGTGAGGGAACACTGTGCCTGCCTCTCTAGTAGAGTTGGAGCTGAACAAAAATAGCAACAGTGTTGTGTGAATTTTGAGAAGTTCAAAGATCCCTTTTCACAGAATGTCCCGTAAAGGTTCTTTATGAGAAAACCCCCAACTGTGGGGGTCTTGATGTTTTGTTCTTTTTCAATAAAAAAAGATGCCAATGTTTTTCAAAAATAGTCTGTCTTTAAAAGCAAAACTTCAGCTAGATCATTCTGAGATGCAAGGCAGGACCAGGGCCATTTCCAGAGATGGTCACCCCAAATGTGTATAACTCCTGCTTCCATATGCAACTCCAGTCCTAACTTGTCAGCACTCACAGCTGCTGCCTTAAATCAGATTTAATTTGGTTAATCTTAGACAAAGAAGAATTTAGTTCAAAATCTTGTGTTTCTCGTGGTAAGCAGGATTTTGGTTTTACTGTTGGTTAACATTTGTCTTCAGACTGTACCTAGAAATAGTCTATCTTCTCAAAGACTTTGTAATTAACTTGTACCTGATCTGAATGTCTCCTCCTACATTTTTTTCCATTTGTTCTCCCATTTTAATTCTCCGTTGTTCATTTAGGCAGCAGCCATTATTAGTTCTCAAATAAAAATAGCTTCTATTTTATATCTGCACAAAGTGTTGTAGTTAATGAACAGGCATTTTACTGGCAATTGGTACCACTTCAAATATTTTAAAGAGGTTTTGTCTGTATGTGTTAGAAGTCTCTTTGCTGCAGTTTGAAGCCAGCTTACCCCCTCTCCACCATCCCAGTACAGCTACACTGCATGCTCCTGCATTGGCTCCGCTCCAGTGGGGTCTTTGGTTTAGGTGAAGCATCTGACCAACCCAGAAGAAGTAGGGGACTTTTTTGGCTCTCCAAGGTGCATCAGGCTATCAAAGCCTGGCCTTCACCCCCACACAGACACCTTGCAGTCTCTGCACTGACTGACATCAATGAAAATGTTGCTGGTAGAATCTGAAGGTGTGACACTAACTGAGGTGTCACTTCACCTATGCGGTGTGGACCATTATCTTCCACGTTATCCGCAAGGTCACAGCACAAAGAGCCGCCCTGTTATCCAAGTACAGGCACCAGTACTGGCTGGCCTGCCACACTTTTGTTTGGCTGGTCCCTACTGCGTTTGCACTTTTTCGTGGCTGCATGAGTATAGTCCTCTACACGATGGCAAAGACCAGGGCTTTGCTATGATAAAGCACAAACCACAAACACTCAGTATCTGGGAACCAGTCCCTGATAAGCTGGAGCAATGAAAGGCAAAACATGACCATCTCAACACAAGGAAGAGCTGGTAGTACCTGCTCAAAGCAGTAAAAGGACAGGCTCCTGGAAGGATGAGTGCAAGGCTCATAAGCTTAGTTCACGCTCTAGTTCCAAGTGCAGGATAAAAAAAAAATACTAACTAGCTAAAAGTAGGAGGGTTAAAACTAGGGGTTCATAAAAACAGATTAATTTTTTCCAGTGACTTTCTATATGTAGCTGAGGTAAGCATTATGCAGATCATTGAATGCTAAAGAGCTGGGTGTCATTTTCTGACAAGGTATTAGGAGTGCACATCTTCAGCACACTTGGGTGACAACAGCTGTCTGCTATCCAATTATTTTTAAACCAAATGAATTTTCTTTTATGAAATAAACACCCAGCATCAAACTAAAGCAGGACATATCCATGGAAAAATGTTGCACAATAAGCTGGTTTCTTTACGTTCAGAGAGCTAAGACTTCCACATGGCTTTCCCAGCATTCACTCTCCTTACTAGAATGCTAAGCCTTCTGCCCTATTTCGTCCCTTCTCTTTTGTTACAGCACAATAAACTCAATCTTATACATTTTACATCTGCAGTCAATCATAACTCACACAATCTTACACAAAAGAAAAAGTTGAGCTTTCTTCAAAACAAAAAGAAATCCACAGAAAACTCCAGAAATCAATTAAAATGATGTGATGATTAGACCTCTATCAACTATTTTGTGTATGTACATGCTTGCATTGAATTTCTGAAATGTAAGCATTCAAACTCCATTCAGAGAACACAGCTACCATCTTAATGATACACAATTATCTGGCTTTATTTGGCATAAAAATATGCTGCAAAGTACAAAAAGATCTTTCTTTCCAAGACTGTAAATCAAAGGATTTGTAAAAAATAGAAATTAATCTTTCTACCTCTATCTAACCTACTGCCACATGAAATTGCCCAATTACTGCAGACTGCCATAGTATGTATACTACTGGAGATTACAGTATTTTCGTGTGAAAAGACTTGAAATTGCAGCATGTTATTTTTAACCTCTCTCCATACCTCAACTGGAAGCAGTCTCAGCAGCTGTCATCTTTGGACTCTTACATCACTGATGTGGAAGGACCAACTTCAAGCGACCGCTTTTCCATCAGTCCTTAGGATTAGAAAGGTTAGTGTGGGAAAAACCTACATGTGGGGGGTCAACACCACTACTCCTCAGATCTGTCCTCTGCTACAGAAAGAGGAAGAGAGTCCAGGTAAACACCTCCTTGATTACCAGCCACAGTACTTCTATTCCCCATCTGCTCTTGCATCCACTGCTGTGTTTATGTAATGTGAAGGAAGAGGCAGCTCCAGAACCACAAGTGGAAGCCAAGGATTTTAGGGAATATATCATGAAACACAGTATTAATGCTTACATTGTCATAATAAACCGTAATGATGAAAACCTAGAAGTGGAAAGGAAGGTGGTACTAAATGCTGAGCATGACGTGGGCTTGTTTCTCTACTGTTACAAAACACAGTTAAAAGGTAGTGTTGAGATAACTATTCTGCATGTGGTTTTCACGCACTGTCAGGCACTGAGAGTGGAAAAGTAGAAACTTAAATGGCTCATGTGGCAAAACTATAGGAGAGAAGTATTATTTATGGGTTGTTATTGGCAGTCTCAAAGTAACTGGAAAACATGCATTTTCTGTTTGAGAGTGAAGAGAGAGAATGATAGAATGGTTTGGGTTGGGAAGGACACCTAGTTCCAACCCCCCTGCTATGGGCAGGGACACCTCACGCGAGACCATGTTGCCCAAGGCTCTGTCCAGCCTGGCCTTGGACGCTGCCAGGGATGGAGCATTTACCACTTCCTTGGGCAACCTGTTCAAGTGCCTCACCACCTCACAGTAAAGAACTTTCTTATATCCAGCCTGAACTTCCCCTGTTTAAGTTTAAACCCATTGCCCCTTGTCCTGTTGCTACAGATTCAGTGTTGTTAAGGCTTATGAATTCTCATGGTCCTGCAGAATATTCTAAGACAGTTTTATCACCATTAACAGTCAGTACTATTACAAAATTAGAATAGTTACTAAAAACAGGTAATCTGAACTGCATGGTAAAACCAGGGAGAAAAAAATGGCAGATATGCCAGTAAAACAGGGTAAGAGGACATACATGACTGAATCCATGAATGAACTCCTGGAGAAGTAGCTGACCTACTCCCTGCAACCAGAGGAATATGTGAAACCAGTTTTCAGGGCTTGCTTCATTCTTTCAGATGGTTTTGAAGAACCTGAGAAAAGCTTCACAATGAGCACAGTGGGAAGTACGTATCACTGCTTGTAAAAAGAGTTCCCATTCAGGATGTTCTGGTTTTATATTGTGATGCTGGGAAGCTTTCTTTACATATAACTATGGGTGAAATACAGTTCCACTTGCTGCTGTTACTAGCAGGATTTAACATTTACAAAACACTTTGAAGGAAAAAGCAGTATAAAAATGCTTTGTTCTTACACAGTTACTCCATGAGGTGAAGATGCACAGGCAGTCATGTTTGGATCACACACAAAACTATCTTAACAGATGTTTGGTTCAGCACAGAGTTCTTTCCTTTCACCTAACTGGAAACCAGGGTCCAAGCTGTAGTGGTGCTGTATTTACCCTGCAGGCACAAATACATTCACCTTCCAATCATCACTTAGGTGCAGTGTAACTTGTTCCACTGCAGGTGGTAATGCTGGCATTCACAGATTTCATCACAACATGCTGTTTTGCTTGTACATATCTGTGAAAAGACATCAACAGCAATGTTGCACTAGGTTGAGAACGCAGCCTACCCCCCCCCCCCCAGCACACTCCTTTTATCTTGAAGTGTTGCCAGCTCAAACAGTATCGCAATGGTTGCAGAAGAGCACTTCTTACCTGCAAAAAAGAAGCTAACCCAGGCTGAACCTGTGTCACTTGCTCAAATTTCATTGGACTTTCAGAAAAATATTTAAATACCTATACTATGCCTCACATCATGATACTATTACTTACATTACAACTGTATTTATATTTGAACAACTATATTTCTGAGAGGAAACCATTCTGAATAATTTCTAATACTGTATTTTTTCCACTCTAGTTATGTTTCTAGAGATAGATCTGTGAAATGATTACACCACTTAATAGCCTCTATTTCAAAATTAAAGTGGCACTCAAGACATTTGGAGATTTTGGCTTTGGGAAGAGTAAAGGTGATGTCAAGAAGTAACAAAGCCCCCAAATAAGTTATTTTTACTGTCAATTTTCAAGCATAACCACTGAACCTGCTTCCTTATGTATTAATTTTGGTTTAAGTTTTGTGAAAATGGAATATCAAAAAAGGATAAATAATGAGACACAGGACTCAGACTAGTCTCTCTCTGTTACTCATAGGATTCTATATAGCAGCTCCAGCTGAATTTTAAATACTTGCCCTGCAAGACTTTTGTTAGTTCCTCATAGCATCAGGTGGCTGGATACAAAAGGCACATTGACTCAACTACATATACAGTAAGATGCTTCCAAGAAAGCCCTTTTCCAGGTTCAAGCAGTGAAAATTTCCTGAGGCTTTATACCCATGTGCCAACAATCTTTCTAATACTATCAAAAGATAGACTTTCAAAGAGCAGTGGGCCAGGCTTGACTGGCACCTGACACTGGCAAAGGCACCAAAGCTTATTTGTAGGCAAGTCACTTCCAAGACAGACATCTTTGCTCATTATTTAATTAGATTTCCTTTAAATCTTTTTTGGCAGTTTATTGGGACAAAACAAGGTCAGAAAGAGAAAAGGTGGCAAGGTCTGAGTGTAAGATGATCCTCTGTTCTGTCTCTGCAAAAGATTTAAGAACATTTATGTCTTCAGAATACAATTGTATTTGAACAGTGTGTAACAGCAAGGAAAACATTCATCAAAATACCATATTATTAAAAGTAGCTTAGATGGATTTTAAATGGACCAGCCATTAGAAGCTATTGAGACCCACCTGATCAGCCATGAACTCTGAGAAGTTAAGTGTGACGGCTTGGGAGAACTTAAATATTGGGACTCAAATAAATGCACAACTGAAGAGAAAAGGCAGAGTTATAAACACCAATATAATTTGTTGATGCAACCATACATAGTGGTCCCCTTCTCTAATCTTTTATAAAGTTGCTAAGACAACTTTGTCTTGGCTAGCAGAGTACCAGATTTCAGTCCACACAGTGTAAGGGAGAAAAGTTCCTGTGGCTTGATCCACTGATCCTGTTTGAAGGCCTGAGCTCCAGTCTATCTCGATCATCTTTCTTGCTTGGTCAGTTTTCTCTCAGGATGAACAGCTCACTTTAAGATCCTTGGCCCAAGCTGGGAGTAACCTGCTCTCACTGCAGCCTGCTGTCTCTGTAAGGGGTGTTGTAAGATCTGCTGTAGCAGACAAACCTGTAAGTAATTAAAATGGGTAAGTTTTTATGCAAAATGTTTTCCTGAAAACAAGAAAAGTTTCTTCCACTTCACATTATGCACCCTCCTAGCTCCAGAAACTATTATTTTTGCTTACTATTTTTATACTTAAAGTTTGCTTACTATTATTAATGCTACTATTAATATAGTTGCTACTATTTATAAATAATACTACTTTTGTTAGTATTGTTAATAGTAATTGGTATTGGTACAGTGTTGATCTAAGTGTAGTATTGGTTCAAAAAGTAAATGCAACAACTCTTTCATTAACAATTATGCCAATTATTAATAAATATGTCAGGAAAGAATGAAATAATTTTACCTCTGAGAAATCATTCAAATTAGGTTTTTGCACTGCTGATTCTGCCATCCAATTCCTAGGATTAACAGCTGAAACCAAAAGTATATTCAGTTAAATTTAGTTAGACATATTCAACAAGAGGAAATACAGTCATTGAAACATGTCATTGAAATCTTCAAGAAGGTTTAATTTGCAGATCAAGGAAAAAAAATGCATAAAAAGGAAAAGGAACTAATCTACTTATTTTGATGAGCTGTTAAAGGAACCTTTTTAACTTGCATAATCAGTGTGTCAAAGTACCAAACAAAGACTACAGTAATACAGAACATCGCACTGATACACAAAGGGTTTCCTGTGGTGAACACCTGCAGACTTTTCAAATGTGATGAGTTTACCATGGCTTTGGTGCCTGCTATATTGTTGGAAAGCATATTTCAGTGTTGTCAGTACCTTCCTGGAGAGCATAAAAATTAGTATTACATTACTTAATTTGAATAGGAATTATTAAGATATCAATTAAAGTATATGTACTTAGATATCCCTTTTTCTATATCATGTATCAAAACTTTAGCCATAAAAGCATCTAATGTTTATTTCTGCTGTATTTTTAGAAACTACTTTATCAACTTTCCTTTTAATTTCTTGTTAGGGATAGTGGGAGGTTCCCCAGATTTTTCCATAACTGTCTGCTGTATCTTTTTGGAAACACTGATTACCACTGCACTGCATCTCTCGCATGTGCCAGGCTGTGTCTAAACAGCAGTAGGGAAATTGAAGGGATAGAAAATGAAACTGCTGAATTAGTAAACCAGGCTACATGTTACAGGACAGCAACTAAGAACTCATAAAAGGCATCCTGTCAAACTGTATGCCAAAGAGGATTCTCATAAGCACACATGGCTTTTATTATCGATTTTTTAGCAGATAATGTCAGTCAACTGCAATTAAAGCCTAGCATTCTACTTCAGAAAGTTTTCATTTTAATGAACAAAACAATGTTACTGATTAACTGTAACAAACATTTCAAACTTGCATTGCAAATCTTAATTTGACGTGGGTCTGCATATTTTGCCAAATCCAGTAGCTGATTATTATGAAGAGATGAATTAGTGATAACAGAGACATTTCACCCATGGACTTGAAACCGGAAGTCTGTTATTTTTGGACATACACAAACTTATACTGTTCTTTCCCTTTCCATTTGTGTCTCAGCAGGTTTTATTTGCATAAATGTTACTTTTATATGTTTCTTTAAAAAAAATATACGTATATATTTATAAAATATTCCTGTAAATATCCTTACAGCGTATTTGAAAGATGATTTTAGAGAAAGCAGAATATTCATCAAAATCACCATCCCAAATTTCTCTCTACTCAATTAGTAAATAAAATTTCTCTAACCAATTATTTACGATGTGATTAATAAATCATGTTAGGAGGGAGATGATCAGAAACAATATTTGGATAAAAGGATTAAACTTAATCTATTTCCATTTCCCAATACACTGTATTCTTGCATCTCCTTGTACTGCTTCCTCAGCTTGCAAACATAACTCGTTTATCCTAGCTGACTACCAAGACAATTGATGTCTTTGAGAACAGCTCTGACTGGCTCTTCCTAAGGTTCTGTGGTTAGACAATCACAGGACTTTATTCATATTAAATAGCTCCCCATACAGAATTAGTGCCTAGCACAGTGAACAGACTCCTCTGTAATAAAGCACTGCTTCTAAAAAGCACCATTTAACCAGACAACAAACTAGAATTTACTGAAGCTATGTAATCAGTAATGCATGATTATTTTATGTATCCAATACAATTAAATTCTGTTTGAAACAGAATGATAGCCATTTTAAACCACAAGATTTGACATACACAAGCATTACGCAAAGGGTCTTTATTTTATTTAGAAAAGTAAAGGACAAAAAATCACCCTATGCTGTACATGCTGGACTCTGGCTGCTCATGTTCCTGCCAGAAAGGACAAGGTGAAACTCTCTTACAAAATCAGAATATGGCCTGAAACCAGAAGCACTTCAGGTGGCATTTCCACTCCCTCCTTTATAAAAGCTGCACAGGTAATAGAACATTCCACCACAACATCCAGGTTCTGACTTCCATGAGAAAAAGGCAGAGGTGCAACCCATCCAGATACAGACATTCTTCATGTTCACATTACCCCTGTTCTGCATGTACTCCCAGATATTAAACAAAAGCCAAAAAATACAACCAGCTGTTTGGAACCCTGATAATCTCTACATAGTCTAACTGCTGAAAAACAGTGTTTTCCTACTTGGCAAAATAATCTGCTCTGGCCAAGTTTTTGATTTCATCTGGTAAATGGGTTTTCAATAACAAAGTGTGGTAACAATATAAAAAGAATATTTAAAAGGTGGAGAAGTTAACAAATGACTCATAAAAAAAAAAAACATAACTCACATTAAACCCATGACTCATACTAGAGGAGAATATTTGGCCCAGAAATATATTCTTAACAATAGAAAACTGTCAAGTTTCACAATGGCATTAAAAGTATCTAATTAAAACAAATGACAAGATAATTATGAAAGAGTAAGACAAGCCAGATAAGAAAAGGACAAAGCAGAAGACATTTTGTGCCCTTATGAGGATTTTATAATCTGGTCTACATTTTTTTTTTCCTGTTTCTTTTCTAAAGAAATACAATTAAAAACTTGTATTGGGATTTGGATTGTCAAAACTTTTTGAACAACTCCTAAGTTTAGGCAGTACAAGATAAAGCACTGCTAAGAACTAAAAAGTAAATGAAGAAAGAAAAAAGATAAAGATAATAAGTGATCGGCTTCAATGCCTCAAGGTAAGGTACTTTGAGGAGCGAGATATTTTACTACACTTAGTAATGATGAGGGAAAGGTGATGAATAATGAGGTGTAATGGCAATGTATTCAAGGTCGGTCAGTACTAAAGACAGCAATATGAAATTTAGTGGGACTTACCAACCCACATAGAAGTCTAAAGAGCTGATGGTTTTGTCTTTAACATGAAATGCTGGATAAAAATGAACACTTGACTGAGTTGAGCCAGCTTTCTGCTGCAAATTGTACTGACAAGAGACAGCTGTTACAAGTAAATACTTAAACAAAAAAAAAAAAACCAAAACAACTAAACAAGAAACAAAACACAATTTAAAGAGACCACAAGGGGCATCAAAGAGATCTATTTAAATGTATGATGCAAAAGAGAACAAAAGCAAGAAAAGAACTCCATAAAAAAACTTCAGCCACACTGTTATGGAGCAGCTAGCAAAAATGTGACAAGATCTGTTGGGTTTTAAAAGTAAAATTAAATTTCAAAAAGAAATTAACATCAGTAGCCTGTTACAAATTTCTGCAGTTCTGCTGTATGGATATAGAGTGATGACCAATTATATGGAAGAAAACTTAACTAGCATAACCATGAATCTTTGCATATCAAGGCTGGACTGCTACCAAAACAGACCACTAGAACTACTGTGATCCTGAAAGCAAAACCTTTTCCTTGTTTTGTCTGTCCTCTATACCACAGGATGCATGTGGAAAAACATGATGCTGATTTGCAGAAGACCATCCCCAAACTAGGATCCTTTCTGATTTGGAATAAAAACTCAGAACATCATGATCTTCTCTAGAAGCAGATTCAAAAGCCATGGAAAAATATGAAGTGTGCTTAGACACTTTTCAGCATCAAATTTTAGCTAAGGAAAATAGCCAAGAGCCTCAGAGTCCCAAAGTTGAAACTTCTTAACCCTATCAAAACCCAGTGCTAAACCAAACCTTCCTTCTTGGTAACTGTTCTTATATTAACTTCCTAAAATACAAGTAAAATTGTGAGAAATATCTAACAAAAGAGCACAGCCATTTCCACTAGAAATGAGACTAAAAGACCCTGCAAAACAGCACAATGTTGAAGCTTATAATCTCTCTTGTGCAGAATTTGATCAGATCCTGCATTTCCTTCATTCCCATTTGGCCACAGATTTTCAGTTGCTCATTGTATTTTACAGGCAAATTTCACAAATTTATCACAGCTGGTATTTTAACAAAAATTGTTAACCAAAGAAATCTCATCAGTTGCTCAGTGAAGGACAGAAAGTACAGACCACTCCTCCCATGTCATTTTTATGTATATCTCTGTGTCAAAACAGAACTACAATAGTAATTCTTCTGAAATCTAGCACAACCTAGAACCATAAAGACAAAAAAGGCATATGAAATCATGTTTGGGCCAGTTTACCAGATCTGCTAAAGATTTTGGAAAATCGCTGAGGCTTAACATTGCCTGCTTTGGCAAATACACATCTGGTGTTATTTTTACACTTGAAACTGCCTCAGACTTACCAATTCAATCTCAAGAGGTACATAGTAACCCATTCTGAAAATAACTTGTGTTTACCCAGATCCCGGGGAGTCCAGGACTCCTGAAGAGAAAGAAACAGTTAATGGTGGGTAATGGGGATTTTGTTCCTGTTAAGAAAAAAAAAACAAAGTAAAGCAAACAAATGTCTTTGGTTCAACCCCAGCCGGCAACTAAGCATCACACAGCCGCTTCCTCACTCTGCCTGGTGGGATGGGGAGAGAATCAGATGATGGGAGGGGAAAACTAAGGAGAATAGACACAATAGGAGATGAAAAAGGGTGAGAAGAGAGAACTTGAAAAAGGCAATTGGAGAGAAACTAGAGCTTGGAGCTGTGGCCTCCAGTGCTGGACAACAACAACAACAAACGAGGCTTCCCTGGCTGACTACACTGAGCTAACAGCTGCTTCATATTGCAGCTGATGCAAATACCAGAGAAAATAGCCAAAAAAGAGAGAAAGTAGCCAAAGCTCACAGACAAAGCATGCACTTCAGAGAAAGAACAGATTAGAAAGACATGGACATAGATAAAAGGAGGTAAACAGCAGATATACAAGAGAAAATGGGCAAAAGCTAAGTAAGGGAAATTAAAAGCAAGAACAAATTGAAGTTTAGATCACATCTGTGGAGTTTTTTTAGAGGAATATAATGAAAACCACATTTGAGTATAAAAATGAGTTAATATTACAGATGTGACTAAGAGCTGGGGGTCTGGCAGGTGGATTACAGGTGAGTGTGGGAGTCACGCATTAGTTCAAAGCTGTGCAGGGCTAAGCTGCTTTAGGAGGAATTTGAGAATGTTTCCAGTTAATACTAAACATAAGTATTCCCATTTCTTAGGTCAATTTTGGTGTGCAGCTTCAAAAAATGCAAGTGATCTACAGACCAATATGAAAACTTGCTTTGCTACTAGCAAAGTATTAACGTGAATAAACAGCAGATGAAATTACTTTCGTACTTTAAAAAATCTTTAAAAAAAATAGAACTTTCTACCAGCATAAAATTGTACCTGCTTTTACCACATCACTTCTGGGACTCGGAACTTGTGGGCTAAATAACACCCTTGCGTGGGAAAAAAGAAAAAAAAGGCCTAGTTTTCTTTCCAGACCATGTTCTTAGAAGCTTTCTTTTCAGAATTTCTCCTCTGCACTTTTATCTACTGATTATTTACCTAGCATCAAAGTCCAGTTCAACCATTTCAGTTATATTTCCACTTCTAAAGACTGCACTATATCCAGGTAAGAAGTTTTAATACTTCTATCTCTTTTGTACTTGGTCCTAAAGAATACATTTAGGCTGAGTTAGCAGCAACATGGGATGGGATACCAAGCTGAGCAGGACACAGTAACAAAATGTGTTCCTACGCTTCAAGCTCCATTTAGAACCCATCTTCTGTCCAAGGAAGGGCAGCAGCCACTATGGGCTGAGATTCTAGCAGGAGTTTATGACAAGATGGAATCTCACTTACCATTAGATACCAAGACAAGTGGATGAGCCTGAGAGCTGAGGTTTAGGCCACCTGGTAAACCCATGTTAGGAATAGTCTGAATGACCCAAGGTTGAACCTTTCCTTATGATCCCTGTCCAACTTCACTTGTGTCTTATGAAATACTATTGGAAGGTATTCTCAAGCAACATACACACACACACAAAAAAAAAAAAGAAAAAAGAAAAAGAAAAGGAAGGGTTGTGGGAGGAAAGCTCTTCCTAGCAGACCCATCTTGAATGTGAAATCACATTCCCACCTGTGTATGAATATTTACAACTGCTCATATTGGACCTGTACCAGAGGTGGAAAATCTGACTTCAGCCCACTTCATTAATGTATCTTTCATTAGCACTCTTTTTTAATGTATCCTTCATTAACAGACACAGGCTTAACATGGGGTGGTAGCACAACACAGATATATGAGTCTCCCCCCCAACCCCGTCCCTTAATAACGTAACAACGACACATTTCCCAGACAAATCATGGCTTGAGACATCCTCTATTATATCAGGGTTATGTCCAACTTGCTTTACTCATTTAACTATTCCTAAAATTGGATTATTATATTAATACCTCAGGAATGTGGAGCTCCTTTAACTGGTCTTCAGTAGTTTCACTGAGCTGTCGAAATATTATTTCAATGACATTTACATTGAAAAGTCATTTCAATGTGAGGTCAGCCTTTGTATCTTCCATAAGCTAGTGAAATAAAGATAATTTCATCAGTGGTTTTGAAATATGTGGTATCCGTTCAGAACTTTCCCAACAAAATTAGCAAAGCAAACTCACTTTTAGGAGGAAAGCAATCAAATAATTATCATCCTCATTCTCCCCAAGACCCATATTTGTTTTAAATAGTTCTGTAAAGCTGAAAAATACTAACAAAGTAAGGAAACTGTTACATAATATTATTTATATTATTGTGACAAGGAGGTTTGAGTTCTGGAACTGCATATGGATGTAATAGCGGTCACCATACTACTTCAAAACCTGGGAAGCTCTGCAAAAACAAAAGCAATGTCAGATCTATGGAACTAAAATATTATTATGGGTACAATCCTACTGTACACTAAACAAAACTTCTTCTGACTGGTATCTCACAAACATTGTTATTCTGAATCTACTGGGATCTGTAGTGGGAAAAAGACTGAGGGGAAACATTTTCACAGGCTTCAAATATACAAATAGCTGCTGCAAAGAAGAAAAAATCCTTTTCATACTGAGTAAGATGTCATGAGTTTAAACTGCACAACTGAAGGTTTATATCAGGAATCTTTACAATAGGATATTAAAATACTACCTCATTACTTCAGGAGGATGCATGGTTTTTATCAGTAAGCATCTTAGAGAACAAGCTAGACAAACTTAGAATAGAAAACTGCGGGCAAAGAACCTACCTTAGTGAAAAGAGAGTGGACAACAGAACATCTAGGACCACCTGCCAGTCATATTTTGCTATTATTTATGGCTAATGAAAACCTTTCTCCCCTTCCTCCAACCTTACTCTGCCAATAATTACTTCAGAACCAATTTCCACTTAGAAAAGAAGATTTTTAAAGGCTAATCCCTTTCTTTCCTATGCATACGGTGATTAGATGGTCTCCCATCTCACTAGTTCTTTTAAGCATTAAGATATTTTAAGGATTACTTACAGCTGCTTTTGCCTGGGATCCAATAAAGGTTTTAGAGCTTGTAACAGCTTGCTTAGATTAAACAGCAAAACATAACATTTGCCTGGTTTCCCATTTTATACTTCCTTTCATCATCAGACGTGTTTGGAACAAGATCTGTCTCAAACAAAACATTACTTTTCCACAAGAGAGTAATTACAATAAACAATCAATGTTAAAATATTGACGTGTATCCACTGTTATATTTACATAGCAAACTAATAAAAGCCCTGAAGCTGCTAAATATTTAAAATTAGATCACAAGGTTACTTATTTACAGTGAATTAACTCAAGATCTATTATTTGGAAATATAGTAAAGTATATAAATATAAATATACTTCCCCAACTTGCAGCGGGGGGGGGTGTCAACAAGTGGCTGGTGGGTTCTTAATTGCTAACTGGGGTCAATCCACCAGATCAAAAACCAGAAAAGCCCTGTGGTTTTGTTTGTTTCTTTGTTTTTCAAATACAATAGAAACAATATAACATTTATTCTCATGAGACTTCCTTAATTTGAGGCTGCAATCTCACAAAAACAGCGAGATAACAACTGACTCTGAAGATTATTATTTATAGGTTGCATCTGAGTAATCAAATAATACGCATTTATGTATATACTGGACCGATATCTATCAATCCCAGACTGACTGAATTCATACTTTCAAAGAAACACTGCCATGACTGTGTTGGTCTGATTTGTTTTCATCCAACATGTAATTGTTGTGACTATAAAGCTAGAACAAGATGCATGCAAAGTTATTATATGACACTTTTGCTTTTGGCTGTTTACAGCAACAGAGTTTTTAATTTTCTAGGTTTCTGTTGTAGCATCTGTTCAATTCATGAAGTTCAACTGGAAACACTTATGAAAATAGGGTTAGTAGTGATATTTCATTAAAAAGACTTTTACTACTTGAATTGCCATGGAACTGGCCTCTGATAATTCCCCCCCCCCCCCCCCCCCCCAAATTCTTAAAACATCTCTTAAAATTCCTAATAATGTTAGTTTTTACATATACAGAAACTACATAAAGAATTTATTTTAAGTAAAAAAAATACATTTAAAAACAGGTGGTACACTTACTTGGGTCATGAGAATCCATAAATCCAAATGGATCATAGTCTATTGTTATGGATAATAAACTGAAGTTATCTGTATTGTACACACCTACAATTAAACAAGAAGAAACAGAAGTTAAACTTCTACCTGAACTGTGTGGTCGATAGAAAATCTGCTGTGAAATAGATACACTGAATCTGCAGAACTTTGGAGCAGTTACCTTTCAGAAATTAGACTCTAGAAAATCAAGCTGTCTCTCTCACTCGACCTGACATGTATTTTAAGGACGAAAAAGAGAACCTGTTACTGCATTATCTTGCATCTGATTTCTATACCTAGGTGGCACTGTTCCCTTTTCATTTCAGTGCTGCACAGCATCGAAACAGCGTCTTGCAAATCGGTGATTAGCTGCTTCCTTGCAAGCTCGCTGCGTGCTGTATTAGCAATGCTATTGTCTTATTCATAATATAAATCTGAAGCAAACGTGGTCAGCACTGTATCCTATTCACTATAAAAGGCCATGTTTTTAATCAAATTCAGAGCAACTAAACTTCTATATGACATTAACATATGGTCTTTGTACATCAGACTATCCCAACAATTCTGAGAACTATTGCTCCTATATTCTTGCTTCTGTCAGAAACACTCATGATTTGAAAGACTGGAATGTACTCCAGCTGAAAAAAACCACCTTTCTATATTAACACATAACAGATACTGCTGTAGGCAAAGACATCAGAAGAACTGAAGAACAAAGTGACAAATAAAAGCCATCTTTAAGTATATGACCATTAAAAGTTACTCCTGTAAAGCCAATGCTATCAGCTGCAGCTTACCATGTGCAAACCCCACAGACATCCACAATGCAATCAGATCTGCAGTCTCCAATAGACGACTGTTGAGAAAAATTCCTAAAATCAACACATCTTTTACATCAAGTCCTCTGAATCAAAAATATGGAATACAAGAAATATCATAAACATTTGATTCACTTTAGAAATATGTCATACATTCTATTTTTAAATGCATATCTCTGTCTGTCAGGACCTTTCATTCACATTCTAAGTTAAGCAACTGCACAACAGCCTTACCAGAAAAGGCTATATATGGTTAAATAAGTACATACGTATGCCCTAAAAGCAATTAAAGAGTAGAAAAGAAGAAATAAGGACACTATACATACCAGAGTATATACTATATAGACCGAATTTATATTAGCAAGAGAAAATTCATCACTTTATGGACACTGTTCACTTGAAATCCGAACAGAAAGAGAAAAAAAAAAAAAGAAACAGATAATGAAAGCTTCCCAATAAACATTTCCCCAATGAAAAGTGGTGGAAAATGTACATACTTGAGAGAAAAAAGATTTCAAGAAGCAGTTTTACTGAAAAGAATTAACAAACTTCAGCTAATAAAGCCTGGAAGCTTATTTCAAATTTAAAAACCTTCTAAAACTTGAAACTTTGAAAAGATTTGTATAATTTTTCTTCACATACTTGCAGAAAATAACTTTTTAAAAAAGACTTACATCTTTGAAGATACAAAGCTTTAAAGAGGAGCTGCGGACGTTTAGTACACTTAGGAGCTCCCTGTACACAGAGCCAGCCAGGGCCAGACACAGGAAGCTGTAAGCACCATCTACATGTGGGGTAGAGTAGCCTGGGCAAGGATTGGACCTGGGCAAAGGCTGTGTGGCTACACACACAAATGTCTAGATTCTACCTTCTAATCAGATTGTTGGGGCAAATCACTGAATTCTCCTCAAACTGTGATGATTTTATCAGAGTACCTAGCACTTAACCTTCAGAAGGGTGTCCAACCGAGTGTCTCTGGATTTTAGCTGGTTGCTCCAAAGCATCCTCTCTGAGAGGACCAATTCTGAGGAGGAAGCACAGTCACACTAGCCTTGGTGAGGCCTCCTTCAAAACAGGCAGAAAGGAGCTGTCTATTTTGTGTAAATACAATTGATCTTTACATGTGCTTTAAATCCAAACCAAACCAAAGCAAAACTTAAAACCTGTTCTTTAATTCAGTCTTTCGGTTTTAAAACTAAAATCTGCTGTGAGATTTAAAAAAAAAAAGACAGTATAGAGAGATGCTGGAAGTTAAACTGAATTATCAGTTATGACAATGTACATCTGCTGCCCATTTTTAAGCACCCCAGAACAATTTGTATTGCTCCTGAGGAAAAATGACCAACTTTTAAATATTTACAGTAGACCAAAAATTTGTCATGCTAATTGCCTGACACACATACTTCTGTGGTTCTGCATGTTTTTGGAGAATACTTTGTACAACATACTTATCCCAGTGATTTATTTCATATTTCTGTTAATTCAGCTTCACAGGCAACTATGAGAAATGTAGCAACTTATGCTTTAAATTTACAAATCTTTCCAAATCAAACAACTACCCCACTAGTGCTCAGTTAGCAGAACTACTTCAGCTGTAAGACTCTGCTCATTTTGTAAGATCCAGACCTAAGTGGTTTAACCCCTATGAGGTAAGATGTTTTTTATGCTTGCATAAAACCATCAGGTTATCTTTCTAAATTATGCAATCTTCCTTTCTAAGTAATTTATGTTTGAATTCCAACTGTATATGTACATTCTAATACACATTTGATTGTTAAGAAAAATAATATCGTTACTATGAAGATTAAATCCAAACCTTTGTAAGGCCAATCCCCCAGAATGACCTAAGATTTCTAAGGATCCTATATAAAACCATGATTTGGCAAGATGTAGCACTATTGCACCTTAAATACAGACACGTGTTTAAATGTAAACAAGAGTATGAGCAAAATAACACAGTTCCATAGTAAAAGCTGTCATCTGTTGTTTCTATAGATACAGAATTTATACATGCATAGTCAAACTGGTATCTTTGCAAGTATACTTAATGCATAGCAGATGAGTATGTATAATACTACATTACAACACAATTTTAATGATAAAACTTTATTTGCTACACCAGCAGACACAGACAAAATTCCAGTACTGCATTAATATCAGAGTTACTCCAGAGACGTTAGAAACAAAGGAAGAACCAGCATAAACAGATTTTTTTCCCCCCACACTGTGTCATCCCACTCTTTTTCAGAGCAGGTGTAGATGATATAGCAGAGGCACAGCCACAGTATTGTTCTCATAATCCTAGTACTGCTATCAGAACAATGGAAAATTTCCCTAGTTTTCAGTATCATTTTTGTAATGGCAGGTGAAAATAAAAATTATACCCCCACAAAACATATACCACAGTCATAGTAGATCTGTTCATAGGGCTTCATTTCTTTAACTATGACATTTTTCAGACTGATTTTATCTGAAGAGGTTTTATATCTTAATAAATGAAATGAAGCCTAGTTAGTACTTTTTAATACACATAGATGACATATTAAGATTCATTTTTGCAATGGAGAATTAAGTTACAGTCTTGCAACACATTATTCCTATTATTCTGAAATATGTTCATTACCTCTTTCTTAATATTTCCATGATGAAGCTGGTCTCTTCACACATCACCACCACTTACAACTAAGCTGTAACAAGCAAGGAATAAACATTAACAACTTATTTCAGGAAAAAATAATTTACAATAGAGATCAAATCATATTTCGTATAACTATTTCTTTAATAAAAAGGATTTTTTTTGCTGGCATAGCTTTGTATTATAAATGACACTGGCAAACAGTAAGTTGAGGCTTACCAAGCTTCATTAGCAAGATGCATTTATTTTGTATTAATACAATGTTGTCCAATTTCAATTACTTACCCCCATCTTGCAGACACGGTTGCATTCAAAAGAACTCCTGCATTCATTTGGAATCTCAGTGACATATAAGTGTGATGAGTCACAAGTATAAGTCACAATTTCCCCAAGGACAACAGCAAAATTAGGACAGAGAAATTATAAACCAAGATCTTGCATCAGATAGAGATTGCCTTTTACTTGAGCCAAAACTGTGGTCTCAGGAACTTTGGGGACAGATCTGGGACCCTTAGCAATCAGAAACCTGTAAAGATACATACACCCCTACTATAAAAATAGTTTTCAAACATTCCCTATAGTTGGTAAGTACATTACTTGAGGAAAGGCAGTAGGAGACCAGACGTACGCTCAATCACAGTTTATGGAGCACTGAAATTGCTCTTAACACCAGAGAAGCTGGAACAACACTCACAGAAGGACAGATTATATCCCTCCCTGCCCCTGGTTCTAGCTTAAGGGCTGGACTTTACACTCCCAAGTGCTCTGCTGGCTGTTTTGCCTGAACATCAAGCTCAACGAAAGTAAAGGCCACTCTGAAAACTATGCAGATTGGCTCACTTTTTTGACCTAATGCATAACACTGCTCACTGATAGTCCCAGTATGTGATTAAAAAGGTACCATATGAAGAAGTGCTCTTTATTTGGCAGTACAACCATAAACTGTAGCACCCCATTGGGAACACAGTACTTAAAATTAATAGAGCAAACCAACCTGCTGGGTGTTCTGGGATAAGCCGTAAGGCTTTTCCCCACACTTCTGCCAAGACTTGACAAGACCTCTAGAAGTGCATCCTACCAGCCTCAGTATAACAGCTCCCTATTGGGAAGAATATGGGTATCAGCAGGGTTTTTTCCAAATGAAGTCTTGCAAACAGTCTGGAGAGGCTGTACAGCAGTTAAGAGCCAGGCATTTAACAAATTTGCCAGCAGAGAACTAAAGCACACTGTGTACTCTATAGAATTCGTGCACAGCTAAGGCGTAATTTCATACTGGTTTTGCGCTGAACATTTTGTTGAGACAGCCAAAAAAGGCTATAACCTTGCCAGATGCTGTCTGCTGATATGCAGACAGATTTAAAGTTTTACATGAACAGCAAACAGCAAAGGGTCTCAAGGTGAAGTCAGTGAATAAATCATCAAAAAAGTCATTTACAAACACCGCACTTCAACAGAACAAATGAAATGTGTTAAAATTAATGCTAGAGAGGTTTGCAGATGCTTTGCAAATATAGACACCTAGCAATGTGGCAGTTGAGTACAGGCTTTTTCTGCAGAACATTTACTTTCATTAAAGCCTGAAATTACGTATACAAGACTACTTAGAACACAAAACAAACTTGACATTTTAAACACAATCACCTGAAAAAAAATCAGTTTGTTTAGTTTTGAGAAAATCATCCAAATGAATGAATGCATTAGTCTTCTAATGAAGAGTGGATGAGGAGCCAACAGAAAGCTTATTGGTTAGGATTAAAAGGAGAGCAGGGACAGGTGACATAGTGGGGTTCTGCTACAGGCTGCCTGACCAGTAAGACTGAGGGGATGAGGCACTATATAGACAGACAGGAGCAGACACATTTTCACAAGCTGTGATCCTCACTGGGGACTTCAACCACCCTGATATCTGTTGGAGGGATAAAACAGCAGGGCATAAGCAATTCAGGAGGTCCCTGGAATGCAGTGATAATAACATCCTTCTCCAAGTGATAGAGAAGCCAATGAGGAGAGAGGCTATGCTGGACCTTGTTCTCACCAACAGGGAGGGGATGATGGGGAGTGTGAAGCTCCAGAGCAGCCTTGGTTGCAGTGACTATGAAATTGTGAAGTTCAAGATCCTTAGAGCAGCAAGGAAGGCACACAGCAAGCTCACTGCCCTGGACTTCAGCAGAACAGACCTCAGCTTCTTCAGGGATCTGCTTGATAGAATACCATGGGATAAAGAAGATGACCTAGAGAAGAGTGACCCAAGAACGCAGGTTAATATTCAAGGAACACCCCCTCCAAGATCAGGAGTGATGCATCCCAACAGAAATGAAGTGAGGCAAAATTGCCAGGAGGCCTGTATGGATAAATAAAATGCTCCTGCACAAACACAAACACAAAAAGGAAGGCTACAGAGCATGGAAGCAAGGATGGGAGGAATACAGAGAAAATGACCAAGCAGCCAGAGATCAGGAAAGCTAAAGCCCTGATAGAATTACAAATGGCCAGGGACATCAAGGGCAACAAGAAAAGCTTCTGTAGGTACAAGAGGGTTAAAAAGAAGACAAAGAAAAATGTGGGCCCTCTCCAGAAGGAAACAGGGGACCTGGTTACCTAGGACATGGAGAAGGCTGAGGCACTCAACAACATTTTTGCCTCAGTCTTCACTAGCAAGAGCTCCAGCCACACTGCCCAAGTCTCAGAAGGCAAAGGCAAGGACTAGGAGATTGAAGAACTGCTGTAGGAGGAGATCAGGTTCAGGACCATCCAAGGAACCTGAAGGTGCACAAGTCCATGGGTGCTGAAGAAACTGGTGGATGAAGTAGCTAAGCCACTCTCCTATTTGAGAAGTCATGGCAGTCCAGTTAAGTTCCCACTGACTGGAAAAGAGTGAATATAACCCCAGCTTTTAAAAAGAGAAAAAAAAAAGATCCAAGGAACTACAAGCCAGTCTCATCTCAGTGTCCCACAAGAACATGGAGCAGATCTTCCTGGAAACTGAGCTAAAGCACATGGAAAATGAGGTGATTGATGACAACCAACATGGCTTCAATTAAGGGTAAATTGTGCCTGATAAATTTGGTGGTCTTCTAGAACAGGCTGTGGCTGCCCCATCCCTGGCAGTGTTCAAGACCAGGTTGGACTGGGCTTGGAGCAATCTGACCTAGCAGAAGGTGTCCCTGCCTGTAGCAAGGAGTTGGAACTAGATGGTCTTTAAGGACCCTTCCAATCCAAACCATTCTGTAATTATATGATTCTGTGGTTAAAACAGAATTAGTTTTAAATTATTTTTGTTTATAAAATCTCCCTTTCTGCTCAAGAGGTGTTTGCACAAATAAGGAATACCTACATTCAGTCCTACTTCCAATATTAACACCTATCCATCTGACATAAAAATTACAACTAGATGACTATGCCAATACAGAATTAGCCACTTTCAATATTTTCCTGATTCTAGAAAAATACATCCAAATGCTTAGCTCTAGTGTAACAGAAGACTCATTTATTAACCATATAAAAATGTATTAATAGACTCACTGATTATCCACATATGCTAAAGATATTATTATTATTATTCTTTACAAAGCAGCAGTCTAGTCCTGATGGTTTTACAGGTCTTTTGGTGAGTAACAAGGTAGAGAACAATTCTGAATTATTTTTAAGAGAAGAAAATCCTGATTGCAGTATCATAAAAGCTGGAGAGGGAAATAGTGTCAGATATAAACACTTGATCTAAATTACACTTTAAACTTTCTTTACAAAATGAACCAGATTTCAGATTAAGGTAATTCAGTTCTACAAGTGAACAAGAGCAGTTCACTGCAAGAAAGAAACAGTACAGAATATTGTATCTAAACAAAGTAATACTTTAAAGCATACCAAAGACAAAAGTGAATAGATTAATTGCTGGAGCTCATTATTACTGCAAAGTTTTATCCAAAAATCTGTGAAAATGGAGGGGCATATTTGTTTCTGATTGTACACATATGAAACCAAAGATTTCCCCTCCTGGAAACAGAAATACTGTCCTGCTTTATTGATGCTCACTGAAACTCAGGTACAAAATTACCTGCAAACTAGGTACCGTGAAAAAAACACATAGCAGATCTGCCTGTAGGAATTCCAAGATAGCGCATGGCCTCACTACACAAAAACTCTCACATAAAAGAACAAAGCACAGCTCTTCCATTGCCATTCATATGAAGAATACAGAAACAAGGAGTAGGTCATAAAATCAAACCAAATTTCAAAGAGAAAACATCCATTTTGGGTGTACGTAGACTAACTGCAGCTTGCCTGGAGCACGGGGTCCTTCCTGACCCTTTTAAGTGTAGCTCCCACCTCTAACCATGCCTGCAAAAATAGCATTAACACTTCTAACAATATACCTTGAGCTATCCAGGAACCAGCTAAACAGAATACCAAGTTGAATCAGTCACTTAAAAGTCACACCTACTTGAATATACTCCGATCAAGTGGGCTCTTCATCACCCAGCTGACCTGCCCAGCTGCCAAACTGACAAAAATGAAAATCAAGTTATTTTATTCTACAGTTACACTGAAAACAGTACGAGCTACACGTAGGTTCTCTGTGATCTACACAATATAATGAGACATTTGCTCAGGTAGTCATTAAGATGTTGATCCCTAAAGCTGTATTTCCACACCCACACCAATAATGAATCAGAAAACCACAGAAAAAGAATAACACCAGTAATCCTTTGTTGTTTTCCTTTCCTCTACCTTCCAGCTATGATGCACAGCTACAGCTCTGTCTCTTTTGTATAATGAGCCTCTAAACTGACACAAGTTATAATTTTTTTCTTAATTGGAAATTACAAATCAAATTCTACTATTCTTCTCCATGAATAATTTTATGAAACTTAACTCTTAGTAATCATGGTATTGCAGTGAGGCTTTGCCCTTCTTCACTCCTCTAAGCTGATAATACCTATCGTGAATCAGAGCTTGTTAGGCTGCAGTGGTGCTAAGAAGGCTCCACAGCTAACAGAGGTTAAAAAGATAATTTGCTTCTGACATAAACATAAGCATAGAAACTAGACATGGTACCATGAAAGAATATCATAGTTCTCTTCCATCTGCAGCCCCTTATGAAGAACAAATCTGCAAGCAAAATGTTCCTCAATATATATACTCACAGGCATATGCTCTTACAGGTATTATCAAGATACAATTCACATGAAAACCTACATAATTCCACCTGGAAGACTGAGTGCCACAGTTACATGATGGCCCCCATACCTATGGGCCAATGGAAGAGACCCAACTATCACTTTCCCACCACTGACAAACTGAAGAAAATCAGATGTCCCTTTGAGAGACATTAAATATTTTCAAGAACTTCCTGGAGAAAAAAGTAATACAGATGGTACTTGTAGATGGTCATATTTTCAGTGGTAATGAATGTGTTTTCTCTACAGATTTTGTTATGAAGAGACATCTGACAATATGTTTTAAATGTTCTATGTGTTTAAAGTATGTATTGATAAGATGCTTTCACAATAAATAGCATATGAATATTAAGGTATATTTTAGAACGTGTATTAACAATCTCTATTAATTCGAGAGGAATTTAAAAAAAAAAAAAAGCCAGCCTTTGAAACAGCTACAAAATGAACTCTAGATTTAAAGGGTATAGGATAGACAACTGAAAAAATGCAGTGCCTCACCTGGATCACATCAATTGGAAAAGGATCTGCAAACATGAAAGAGTCAAGAAATGTTTTTAAAAACAAGTAATCATATTATTCTTAATACCTTTTCTCTTAAATCCAATCAAAATACTTCAGAAACAATTAAAACCTGACTCTTTACCACAATGCTATCGTGGTTTAAACCCAGTCAGGCAGCTTGTTCACTCACTCCCCCCCTTCTTTCCTTCCCCCTACTCCCAGAGGGACAGAGAGGAGAATCAAAAAAGAATGCAACTCCCCCGGGTTGAGATAAGAACAGGTTAGTAACTAAAGTATAACACAAATCACTGCTGCTACCATCAATAATAATAATGATAAAGGGGAGAGAATACAACACCTCACCACCAGCCGACAGATAACTCACCCCAGCCCGACCAAGCACCAACCAATACCTCCTCCAACCCCGCAGTCCCAGCCCTTCCAGGTAACTCCCAGTTACATCCTGGGCATGACATGCTGTGGTATGGAATACCTCTTGGCTAGCTCGGGTCATGTGTCCTGTCTCTGCTTCTTCCCGGCTTCCCCTCCTCCCTGGCAGAGCATGAGGCTCACAAAGTTATAAAATCCCAGTACCTCAGAGTCCCTGTTTGGTAAAAACTGTACCTTAGTTAGCACCTCTGGAGAGCTGTTAGCCATGTTTCTCAATACCTCTAATGACAAACCCTGTTACACCCAGCTGCCACAAGACATATCACCGATTATTATTTCTTAATGCTTGGAAGTAATTGCATCGCCTGCAAAATTTATTTCTGTAAGGTTATCACATAAATTATCTTTATTATTATAATCAATTCTGTATGCCTGAAAGCTATACTGCTTATGCTCTTCCAATCAGGTGTCAGGCTGTCAATTTCGCATTAACACATCATTAGGACTTGCATATCTCTCCATTACTATTTGCTAAATTACTAAATTGCTAATAAGAAGGGAAGGGAAAAGAGAATCCTTACGGCCAATCTAGTTTTAACTTTAGTGCAGTATCTGTGTATATAAGGTCCTCACTTAGAATCACTGAATGGTTTGGGTTGGAAGGGACCTTAAACACCATCTGGTTCCAAATCGCGGCCATGGGCGGCAAGGACACCTTCCACTAGACCAGGTTGCTCAAAGCCCTGTCCAACTCAAAGCCCTTGAACGCTGCCAGGGATGGGGAACCCACAACTTGTCTGGGCAACCTGTTCGTGTCTAACCACTCTCACAGTAAAGAATTTCTTCCTAATATCTAACTCGCTGTTGCTTCCGTAGCTACTACAATCCACTGAACAACAGCACCAGGGTAGAGCAGGGTGTACAAGGGAGAAACCCCGGGGCAGAGCAGGGTGCTCCCGGAGACGGACTATGCGCAGAGCTCTGCTGCCGGGTCTTGCTCAGGCCTCGAGGAGCTCGGCAGAGCCCTCGGGAGGCGCACAAGGGTGCGGGGCGCACAGCTCCAGCGGCCAGCCAGGGGGGTCACTACTTGTTCCCCAGACCTCGCCTTTACCAATTCACGTAAGAAACCAGCTCGAAGCCTCCCTGCCCTCAAAACAAGCCCTCCTTTCTGATCTCTTCACAGAGACGTCAGGAGAGGCTGGTGCCTCCTCCGAGCGGGAAGCTCAGAGCGGCCATTCCCGCTATGGGTGTGCCGGGGCCGGGGCTGGGGCTGGGAGAGCCGCCCCTACTCGCAGGCTGGCAGAGCCGGATCCCCGCTGAACTGCGGCCCAAGCCCTGTCCCGTCCCAGCCGGGAGCGGAGACCGGGCCCTGCCAGGTGGTGCCGCTCTCCCTCCCGGCCCTTAGCCACGCTCGGCTTCCCGAGGGAGCGGCGGGAAGGGAGGTGAGGAAGGGCGAGGTGAAGGGGCCCTCCCCGCCCGCTCGGATGTCCTCCCAGCACCCGTGCCAGAGGGTGGTGGCGGCGCCTGGCTTCCGCGTCCGGGTCGCGGCGGTGCCGGAAGGCGGTGCCGGCGCGGCGGGGCTGGGGGACACCATGGCCTTGCGATGGTGGTGGCGGTGCGGCCCCTGTTCCCCATGGGCGCAGCCGCTCGGCTCCCTACCGCGCCTCCGCCCGCCGGGGCCCGGGTCCCGCACCCCGCTGCTGCCGCCGGCCCCCAGCGCGGCGGTGAGTGCGACGCGGCGGCGGGCGCCTGGAGGTCACCGGGAATGAATGGGGCGGCGGCGGCGGGGGGAGCCGGGCGGCCGGCCGGCGGGGTCGGGCGGTCACAGCCTACGTCCTCCCTCCTGCCCGGGGAGCGCGAAGGCCCGGAGGTGGTTCCGGTGGTCGAGGGCAGTCGGTGAGCGGGCAGGCGGTGCACAGCCCTGGCCGTGGGCCTCGCAGGGGGTTCTTCTTAGTGACAGGTTTTCAGTGTGTTAGTGCATAACTTAATTTGGTGAGTTGTAATGGGGGGGCAGTTCTCTTACTGCATTCGTTCACACCTCCTTCACAAGGCCAGGTTACTGTTCTGACCTGCAGTAAAGTGTTGTGGCTGTGGTGTGTCTAGAGTCGTGCACGACCCAGTCCCATGTCATTAAGCAGCAGTGTAAAGGAGAGAGCCTGTACCCTTACAGAAGAAGGAATAGGAAGAGATCACCTGTTCTTTTAACAGCAGAAAATGGCGAGAGGGTGAGCTTATGAGGGTCTTGGCAATAGATCTGGGCATTGGAATCAGACAGCGGGGAGCTGCAAACCTGTGATAAGTTGCGGTACCTCTCGTTCCTCTTCCTCTCCTTTCCTCGTCTCCTTGTGTGGCTTTTTTTTTTTTTACCCTGTACACAATTTGGATGGAAGGGTGCCCTGGAGCGGGTGTGGTGCTCTTTTTGTCTCCTGCTATGTGCAAGGAGAGAGAGGTTTTGGGCATATGCAAGGAGACACTGAGCTATGAGGAGCAAATTGAGGGAATCCTTCTCCAGTTCTAGGTCTCCTTGAGCATTTCTGTACAGGCTTTTGAAGAGGAAGTTTGGTGAAGTGTGTGGACTGCAATGATACTGGGCTGGGTCCACATGGCTGGGCCCCTGAGTCAGCGTGTACTCCAGGGCAGGGCTGGGTACTTCCTGGCAGCACTACTGGGAGTGGAGCAAAGGCTGCCTTTCCCTTCTCAGCCTATCTCTGCTGGAATCTGGACCTGGGACTTCACCTTTCCCCAGGCTCCTGAGCTCTGCGGGGAGAGGTTGCTAGGTTTGGAGGTCAGGTTCTTGACGTGGTAGCAGAGAAGATGTGGAGGTGTAAATTTTCATAAGAAGCAGGCTGAATTAAAATTGCTTCAGGGGAAAATATGGACATGTTCTTCTTCTGTTAGTGTAGTAGTTTACAGAAACAGCTCTTGTCCTTTTCTCTGTGCCTTGACTGATACAGTCCAGGTTTATCTGCAGGACAGGAAGTTTGGAAATCACACCTTCCATGAGTGCAAAAGCACGGTTACATTAGAGCAGTTCTGGAAAGTTAACTGATAATGTCTTCTAGGTTGGTCCTGTAAGGGGAGAAAGTCCAACTCTTCTGAGTGAAAGAGTCAGTTCAAGTTAGAAGCTAATGTGCATACTGGCAGTTATGTCTCGTAATATGGAAAGAGATTATGAGACTCCATTGGCTGCTGGGCAGTTAAAATGGAGAAACTGAGCAATGTTGATAGACAGACACTTATTTCTTGTAATCAAATGTTTTCTGACAGTTAATTTAACCCTGATTTTCCTTTGTGCAGATTTGTCACTTTACCCAAAGAAATTCAACGTTGTCAGTTCCAAAAATATGTAATATATTTTGGCGGTAAGTTGGAGATTCATATACTTGTGTAATGGGGAAAAAGGTAGTTATTGGGTGAACTGGATAGTTACGCCTGTGAACTGTAAACTTTGAAAAGAAGGTTTTTTGTTCTAGTACATACTGGATAATTCTGTACAGACTGTTCCTATGGTCCTGAGTGTGAATCTAAGTCCTTCGTGCTGGAGAGCAACAGGTAGAGCAAGAGTGCCCCAAGAAAACCCACATGGCTCACTCTGAAAAAGGAAACATAATAAGAGACATAAATTTAAACTCCAGGAAACATTACAGAAAAAAATATCAGGCCTAAGCCTGATGCATCTTGCTGCATCCAGGTGGGGCTTTCAGCCTTTATTGGTGATACTTTTATGGTATCATCGTGCTACCTGGAAGTATTAAGTAAACTTATAATGTAGCTGGGTGTGCAAAGAAAAATTTTCAAATCCGTGTCAGGAATGCTTTTTCCAGGATCATACAAGAATGGGAAGAAACAGAATAATTGTGCTACTGGAAAGTGAGGGCTTCATCTCCAAACATATGCCATGCTATCACTGGTGTATTCAAAAAGAATACATTGAGAGCAATGTAGTTTTATGTATCTCGGGAGACTTGTGTAATCTGCTAAAGGTGAAGGGGGGGTTATTGTTTGCCAAATGCTGCACTTTTCCTGCTCCTAAAAGTCTGCAGTCATCAGTACGTATCTGTGCCATCCTTGCACTTTATTAGCTGGCTGAAAAGAGTGTTTTGATGCCTTCTACTTATATTTTAGCCATTTGGTTAAATTTTGCACAAGGGCAGAGGAGGAGGAGGGAACGCTTTGAAATGTTTCTGTTTGGGGTGTTGGGGAAAGTTTGCTTTTAACATCATTACTCTCTTGAAAAACACTGTTACCAGGTTTCATCATACAAGTACCTCCCACTGGTGCAGCTGCAGTAAAACAGTTAGTAATGAAAAATACCAAGACCCTTTTCAACTTGGTAGAAAAGACTTGAAGAATCTCTATGAAGATATTAAAAAGGTAAGGGATTTTGGTGACTGTTCTGGGATGTTGTGATGATTCTGATTTTAATAGCAACCATTGCTTTGGAGTATAGTTATTGTAAGAATATTCTTTATGAGCAGCTGTCTGAAACTTAAACTGAAGGCAAAGGGAGCATTTCTACATACCTTACAGAGCCGTAATGCAATACGGGCAATAACTTTATCCATGAATACTGTTTTGCTTGCACTAAACAGATTGGCAAGCAAATCTGTATGACAGAGACTTCTATGCTGATATGTTAATTTCCTTTCTATAGGAATTACTTGTATCTGCAGCAGAACTTAAGGAAATGTGTGATTATTACTTTGATGGGAAAGGAAAGGCCTTTCGACCAATGATTGTGGTGCTAATGGCAAGGGCTTGCAACATTCACCATAATAATTCCAGGTGAGTCAGTCACTTTTAGATATATGGACATATATTCATAGAATCATAGAATGGTTTTGGTTGGAAGGGCCCTTAAAGAGCATCTGGTTCCAACTCTGCCACAGGTGGGGACACCTTCCACTAGACTAGGTTGCTCAAAGTCTCATCCAACCTGACGTTGAACGCTGCCAGGGAGGGGGGCATCCACAGCTTCTCTGGGCACCCTGTGCCAGTGTCTCAGTACTCTCTTAGTGAATAATTTTTTTTCATAATATCTAATCTAAATCTGCCCTCTTTCATTCCCCTGAGTTTAAACCTCATTCCAAGTACTGTACTTGAAATCTATCATTCTTGTGTTCAAAAAAAAAAATATGTCTAGTAGCTTTTTGAAAATAAAAAGCTCCTCAGGAAAACCTGAGTTCAAGTTCCATTGTGAAACTGAATTTTTGCAGTTAGCAGTGCAAAAGGAACTACTGAGTTTATTACATATTTCTATGTGTAAAATTGTGGACTATACTGTACGTGTAATGGGTGATGGATAAATAATACAGAAGTCTGATATTTGTAAGGCTTCTAATCAATTTTAGCTTCTTACATAGATGCTTGATTAGATCTTTTATTACTCCTTGAAAATATTAACTTAATTAGAACTATTTTTCATTTGTAACCAGTCCTGTAGCTATTATGTAGCTATTAAACTCTTGTCACAGGTGAGAACTTTGCTGCAAGAAGAGACTTCCATACCTTTTTTTTTCTTTTTTTTTGTTACTATGCAGAAAAGCCATTAAGCACGTGGTGTAATTATAATCAAAACTGTGAGACATTCAAAACAGTCAGATTTCCCTGTCCCAAGCCCTAGGAGCAAGGTTCTACACTTCAGTGTAAGATTCTAAGCTTAGAGCTGGTGTAATCCTCACATTTTTGAAGTTATTTGATTTTTGAAAGCAGTTTTAACTGAGCAGAACATCATGCTTGCTCTGTACACTCCACCAGTCCTCGCTCTGGTTGATTGCAAATAGTTCTCCACACGTTCCTATCAGTTACTACTTTCTCATTTTGAGGAAAGATGTTGGGCAGAGTGTTCTCTGCCTTCCAGCTACACTTCCAGTCTTCCTTCATACGAAATTTCAGATACGAAATCTTTGGTCCCTTGCCAGAAGTGTTTCCGGACCAATTTATCAGTCTTAAGGGATTTCTCTCAGCTCTCACATAATTTTTTCCTTAGCAGTAGGTTAATGCCTTGTTAGACTTCATTTCTACCACAGCATAGCATATATTTTGCTGTTTGATATGGCACCTCTCCCATTATACCCCCTCCCGTGTGAATATCATTTTGGAGGAGAAAGCAAAACCTAGTTGGCAGTGTCCTGTCCTGTGTGTGCCAGTTCCTCTTGTTTTAGGGGAATGTTGTCTAGGATTAATGAACTTCATGACAGCCTTATTCTGTTCTCCAGTCAGCGCTGCTCATTGTCATTGTCTTAGAGGTAGCAGAAGGAACAGTATCAGTTGTGAAACTCATCAAGGATGTCCTTTGTCACAGCACTGATTGGCTTAATATTTTCATGAGTGATCTTGACATGAAAAGCAGGAGTCTGATGATGGCACTTCTTGATGACAGAATGATTCAGAATGAATGGCCACCCATGGTGTATTGAAAGGCACCACAATTAAACAGAAACTTCTTCTTGAGCTGGGAAGCTCATGAGTATCCCCTTACATGTAACCCCCATATGATTTCTAGCCACCTTCTCTATGAAAAACCTTAAAAGTAATCCTAGCTTGCATCAACCATAATATATTCAGATCAGCTACTGGTGTGCTGATACCCTTGTATATCACACCTTGTGAAATCATCAACATGTCTGATCCTTCTATTCAAATAGGTAAGTCCAGCTAGCTTCAGAGAGGGGCTGCAAAGATAATCAGGACAACAACTGGCGATGAGATTTTGGAGCATCCTTCTAGTCAGAGTAACAGGAAAAATAGTTTTATCTCATTCTAGTGTGTAGCATGAGAAATGTATGAACAAGATTGTGTAGTGTACATGCAGTACTGAGAAGGCTGCAGTTAATGTCATACAGTGCAGGAAGTGAGCAACGAAGCAAAGACAAGTAGTAGCTTTTGCCTTTATGTGCTCAAAGCATATTTGCTGTCTTATGACGTATGTGTACCGTCATGGACATATTCTTGTCCATGCTTTATGCCGTCTTCAAACCATGAGGGTCAGTTTTGAGACCTGCCCTATGCCAGTGAGAAAGTGTCATCTCAGACTTCAAGGGCCACGCATGCCTGAGGCAAGTGTTTGCTACTCAGTAGCTGACCCTCAGCATAAGCACTTTGATTTATAGATGCCTGTGTAATTTGGCAGCTTTTGTATTGAGTTTTTGTCAGCACCTCCGAACTATGTCTAATGTTTAAAAGCTTCCTCATTAATCTGGACATTCCTTGTTAAAGGACAGATAGAGTCACTATCTCTGTTGTATAATTTTTAGAATGAAATTCAGAGTAGGGAGAACAGAAACGTTTCAGCAAAGGAAAAGAATGATATCCCAGGGTATATATTTTCCTCTGCTTTGCCTCATGCCACTTTTTGTGTTCAAGCTTCTTGAAGCAGTCTGCTACATCTGCTTTGTATTTGCATATACTTCCAGCTCACACTGATACTGGTTTCATTATTGTTGTTTCGTAAAGCAGTATTGCTTTCAGGTGACAAGTTGTTCTTCCAGCTTTTTACTGTTTGTGAGGAATAGTGTATATATAGGAAAGGTAACACTGCGTATTTGTTACTCTGCTGTAGACCTGAGAGTAAAAGAAAACCCAGCTTGCTTTCTGTTCTGCTTCTCACAACAAATATTTTTTTCTCTTTCAACTTGTCATTTTTCTTCAAACGTTCTATTGTTCTTTTCCTCAGTTAATATTGATTCTTCTCCTAGACTTGTTTTTCTTTGTTGAAGCTTTGGTTCCCACACATGTAATCAAACATGTTGGCCACAGCATCTCTAGACTTGTGCGGTGAGACAATATCCTGTGCTGTTCATCCCTAGCATTTTTTTTGTTCTGCCTCTGGGGTTTGTATTACTGATGTTGAGTTTCTGCTTCATCTTGCTGCCATTCTCAAATGTCATATAACTTGCTGAACCTAGCATGCTTTTGTCTGTTCTTTCATTTGTTATTTTTTGGGTGGTTTTTTTTTTTCCTTTTCCTCTTGTGCAGTAGTAGCAGAAAAGGTAATACTCTTCCTTGTTTGGCTGTTCAAAAAACAGAAAACAACTTTGTAAGGTTATAGGTCTTATGAGGCAGTCCACAGACACCTCTCTATCTTCACAGAGCCCCACCAGAACAGCTGAGACTTCTCAAGTGAATAGAGGGGAGCACCGAGGTAGCTCTGCTTAAGTTAGGTGGTTCGTGGTTAGAGTTGAGGAAGGTTAGGTATTCAGAATGCCCTCAGCAGGTTAACTGTTTCTCTATAGAGTGAGTTCATCTTATTGTAGTTATAATAAGGAGAATGACAGTTGTTTAAAGAATATGAACTATTGTCAGAAGAAGTGTCTGAAGCATTCCAGTTTTTCTGTGCTGGTATATTTTGGGTTTTTTTCCCCTTGGAGATCCAAGTGTCACAAGTCCAACCCTGAGTGCTTGAGCCACTTGAGCAATGCCTTTTTGCTTAATGATAACAGCTTTGTGCAAGAGTGAGAATTGTTGTAAGGAGTATAAGCTTGAGGTCATGCAAACCCTCAGTTTCACACATGCTCTGGCATTTCTTCACAGCCCTGTGTGCAGAATTTCATAGCATTATCACTTAGCCTGACTGGACCTACTGTTTCTGTTCAGAGTGTATTCTCCAGAGGTGTTTGCAAATAGAATCAGCTAGGTTGGAAAAGACCTGTAAGATCACCAAGTCCAACCCTTACCCCAGGGCTGCCAAGGCCACCACTAAACCATGGCACTAAGGGCAAGCTGGTTTCCCCTTATGGCTGCCCCTAATAATCTCCACTCGTAGCCACCCCTCATCTGTTCTCCATAGTGGCCCACACTGTATAGCTGCCACCTTTACACCCCACCGTGGCCACCCTTCACACCCCCCAGCTGCCCCTGTTCTCCCCTCATAATCATCCTTCATGATCTCCCCTCATGAATGCCACTCACCGCTCATGGCCACGCCTCACATCCCGTGTCTGCCTTTGCTCTCCCAGCATGATCTCTACTCATGGCCACCCACCTCTCCCCTCTTGATTTTTCCCTCATGGCTGCCCTTTCTCTCCCTTCACTGTCTCCCCTCACAACAGCCCCTCACCCCTCATGGCCTTCCCTCATCTCCCCTCGTTATTTCCCCTTATGACTGCCCTTCCTTTCTCCTTATGATCTCCCCTCATGGCTGCTCCTCCTCTCCCCTCACAATCTCCCCTTATGGCCACTCCTCCTTTCCCCTCATGATGTCCCCTCACAACTGCCCTTCACCCTTCATGGCTGCCCCACCTCTCCCCTCACGATCTCCCCTCATGGCCACCCTTCCTCTCCCCTCACACCTCATGGCCATCCCTCATCCCCCCTCACTATCTCCCCTCATGACTGCCCCTCCTTTCTCCCCATGATCTCCCCTCATGGGCCACCCCTTCTCTTCCGCATGATCTTCCCTTATGGCTGCCCCTTCTTTCCCTCACAATCTCCCCTCATGGCCGCCCTTCCTTTCCCCTCATGATCTTCCTTTGTGGCCGCCCTTCCTCTCCCCTCACAATGGCTCCTTATCCCTCATGGCCATCCCTCATCTCCCCTCATGTTCAACAGTTTAAATTAATATTGTCCAGCTTTTGTACAACAGCCACATGTATGCACTGTAGAGCCTGTTCCTAGCTCTCCACCTGTAACAGGGATTAACCACATGCTATCTACTTTATTGCATACACTCCCTTCCCCACTCTGTGTACTTCTGCGGGCTCCTCTGCCTCTTTGCTTGTCCAGTTATACAAACCTCACTTGGCTACAAGGTCAGATTACCAGCAGAGCAGCCTCCTTTCTGCAGTTCATGGAGGTGGGTGTTCAGCATGCTGTGAACCAGGATCTGATTCTCTCCGATGCACCATTTCTCTCTGTAAATTGGGGTAGGAAGTGCTCCTTCCAAGTGACTCTGGAAGACTTAGTCTATAATTGCTTGTAAACCACTTAAGTAGTACGTGATACAGAAAGCCAAAGTGGTAATAGAGGCTTGAGATTAGTCTATTTTTGGCATGTTATACAAACTTATGGACTTGATTCAAAGCAGTTACTGAAAACTGTAAAGTAGCCAAAAAAAAGTGATAGGTGATAGGGGGGAAAAAAATAGGAGGTTTTGTTTCTATTTTGGCAACCAAAATGAGAGATGAGCAAGTAAGAGAAGGCCAAAGAAGTACAGAGACATCTCAATAGAGAAAATAGCACTAAAGAGTTAGGGGTAAAAAGGGAAATAAATCTATCAGAATAGTGTGAGAAATACTTCAATATATTCACCCGGCTAAACCCAAGAAAATAATATTTTCCAAAGACATGATGACCTGCCAACAACCTTTGTCCTCTTTTCTTTCACTCCTCCAAACCATGGTTGTCAGAATATCTGTACTGTGTACTGGTTTTTCATCTGGTCTGTAATTTGCTCCCCTGTTAACACATCCATTCTCTGTGCTTCCCTTAGTTTACAGTGTTCTTCTGTGTCACAGACTGTGTTCCTCAAACAGCGTACTTTGGGAGTGTGGTTATAACACAGTAATTTTGCAAGTTCTTTTGCATGTTTCCTGTCTTTAAACTGGCAGTAGTTGCTTACTGGCAAGCGCATTGCAAATCTTTGTTGCAAAATGTAAGTACTGTTTTGTGTTGGCTTGATTCTGTCCTGGTCATCTCTCACCCCCTATTTTTATTTTTATCATTAATTTGAAGAGGGGTGTTTGGAGGTAGAGGTGTAATTGTTTGGGTGTTCTTTCCAGTCTGTAAGAGCAGCTTTGGTCTTGTTCAGTGTCCATGACACAAGTTCTGTAATGGAAAAGAACTCAGGGTACTGTAGCTCTATAAAAGCTTATCACAGAATCAAGCAGGGGGTCCTACTGACATATAAAAAATGATCAAGGACTTCAAAATTAATATAATGCATGTGTAAAAAGATAAACTCAAAGTTGTATAAAAAATTTGTGTAAATATATATCATCTGGGGGTGCCTTTACTTTGAGAGTGACCTAAAAATGGCATCTTTCCACTTACTGGACTTGTGGGGACCCAATTATCTATTGACTTGAGTTACTGCCACTTTTTGCTTTTGTTTTGCAGGCGATGCAGAATGCAAAATGTCAGGGAATGAGAAAGATCCTGGTTTTTGTGTGTCTTCCCTCAAATAGGCATGCTCTGATTCACAAATACTCTCACAAGATATTTGTAGGAAACTATTGCAGATTTTTTTTTGCCTGTGATGGGAAGAGCCTTGCTTGAGACCTTGCAGAAATAGTAGTTAAAAAAAGCCCTCTTCAGGTTAAATTATCATGTTTGATACAACATTCTGGGAACCAGACACATGGACCATGAACATTCCTATGCCATTTTTAGTCATTGTCAGAGATGAAATGCACTATAATGCAGAACTTTTCAAAACGTGCTTTTGAAATGTCCATTCTTGTGCTGTCTTCATACTACTGAAAGGTTTTGGTGTGTCGGTGAGTTTTGCCTTTGCTGCTGCTTCCCAGCAGGAAGTCCAGTCTGCTGATATAATTAATGAAAAGGGAGTCCCCAAAAGGAGTCCAGTGCATGAAAGAGCCTGGAGACCTTTACAGTTGTTTGAAGGTAAGTTCTCCTGCTTAGTAACGATAGTTTATTTTGGAAAACTACTGACACTGAACTAGCATTTGTCTAAATTACTATTCCACAGTGAAACTTACCTTCAAACAGCTGTGAAGGTTTCCAGCTCTTATTTTGTGTTGTGTAAAAAGCTGCATTTTCACAGCCTGAGCCACACATCCTGCTATTGTTCAGGGTGTAGAACTCTCACTAACAGCACTGCAGAGTTCTGCACAGAGGTGGATGTCAGAACGCAGTGTTATGTCAGCAGACTGCAAGATGTTCTTTCATTTTGTGGTTAATCACTAGAATTCAGTAGACATAGGCAATGCATGATCTGGCTGGAGGGCCGCATACAGAGAGTTGTGGTCGATGTCTCAGTGTACAACTGGAGACCAGTAACAAGTGGTGTCCCTCAGAGATTTGTGTTAGGACTGGTCTTGTTCAATGTCTTTGTCGCTGACATGGACAGTGGGATTGAGTGAGCCCTCAGCAAGTTTGCCAATGACACCAAGCTGTGTGGTTCGGTTGATACCTGGAGGGAAGGAATGCCATCCAGAGGGACCTTGATACGGTTGAGAGTTGGGCTGATGCCAACCTCATGGAGTTTAACCATGCCAAGTGCAAGGTCCTACACCTGGGTCAGAGCAATCCCAGGCACAGCTACAGGTTGGGCAGAGAAGAGATTCAGAGCAGCCCTGCAGAGAAGGACTTGGGGGTGTTGGTTGATGAGAAAATGAACATGAGCCGGCTTCAGTGTGCGCGTGCAGCCTAGAAAGCCAACTGTATCCTGGGCTGCATCAAAAGGAGCGTGACCAACAGGTCAAAGGAGGTCATCCTGCCCCTCTACTCTGCTCTTGTGAGACCTCACCTGGAGTACTGTGTGCAGTTCTGGTGTCCTCAACATAAAAAGGACATGGAACTGTTGGAACAAGTCCAGAGGAGGGTCAAGAGGATGATCAGGGGACTGGAGCACCTCCCGTAGGAAGACAGGCTGAGAAAGTTGGGGCTGTTCAGCCTGGAGAAGAGAAGGCTGCGTGGAGACCTCATAGCAGCCTTCCAGTATCTGAAGGGGGGGGCCATAGGGATGCTGGAGAGGGACTCTTCATTAGGGACTGTAGTGACAGGACAAGGGGTAGCAGGTTAAAACTTAAACAGAGGAAGCTCAGCTTAGATATAAGTTCTTTACTGTAAGGGTGGTGAGGCACTGGAACAGGTTGTCCAAAGAAGTGGTAAATGTTCCGTCCCTGGTGATGTTCAAGGTCGGGTTGGATAGAGCCTTGTGTGACATAGTTTAGGGTGAGGCATCACTGCCCATGGCAGTGAGGTTGGAACTGGATGATCTTAAGGTCCTTGCCAGCCCCAACTGTTCTATGATTCTATGTACCGGAAGTAATATTTTTCCTGATTTTTTGGTTTGGGTTTTGGATTTGGTTTTGGTTGTGGTTTTGGTTGGGGTGGGAGCGGTGTGTGGGTGTGTGTGGTTTTTTTGCTATTTTGTTGGGTTGGCTTGTTTCTTTCATTGCTTTGTTGTTTTTAATGTCCATGTTGTCCATGTGGCTTGTTACAACTATAAGGCAAGGCTGACTGGGATAGCTGTTTCTGGGATCCTGCATACAACCCATGGTATGAAAACAAGTAGAAAAAAACATAGATACAAGAACAGGGCAGTGGTAGCTGGATAGTTGGGTAGGTCGGGTAAATGCTCTTCTGTGTGAGCTAAGTTGGCTCTTTTCTGTACATTTCGCCAATCTTATTCCTTAGATAATTGCTTCTGTGTTCTTCCATTTTCTTCTTTTCACCTAGTTTAAAAATTAAAGTAGGTGTGAACTATTGAGAGTTGAATCATCAGTGTTAGATCTTCCCAAAGGCTGAATTTCTGTAAGTGTTAGGTAGTGTTTACAGTCCTAAAGTGATTGCAGTATAATTCCAGTTAATTCCTCAGGCTGTTGAAAAACTTCCGAGGTCTTAAGGTAGTCAAGTAACTTAAAGGATGAGATCCATGAGCTATGGCTTTCAGATATAGAATACAGATTTCTCTGCCTGCTGATCTCTCCAGCCTGCGCGTCAGCAGAGTTAGCCAGCTTTGGAGAGTTTGTGATGCTGCATCTTGCAGGTAGAGCAACACCGAGAAAAGGAAAACTTTAAACTCATCTACAAAGCTACCTGGCATTCTTTTCTCTGCTGTGTTCCAGATTTCCATCTGCTTGGAGCCAAGCATCCTTGATACTCTGCTATTTATTGCAGTCTGGATTTAGAGGGATTGGAGTTAATAACTCAGGAGTTTTGCAGTACTGCTAACGCAGCAAGGCAGAAACAGGCCTAATAAGGATGGAAACAACCCATTGCACTTACTGTACTAATGTGATCTCACTTTCTTTTGTCTTCCTAATTCCAGGTTTGAAAGATGGGGTTCAGACCGTGGAAAAGCTGCAACAGCTGCTTTTAGAGAAACGTGTTTTTGGTTTTCATAGAGGTTTCTTTTAATGTATTGCAGCACATGGAACTGATTTAATTATTTGACAGTTCTTGGGGTTTTCTTTCAGGGAGGTGCAAGCAAGCCAGCGCTCTGTGGCCATAATTGCTGAGATGATCCACACAGCTAGCCTAGTTCATGATGATGTTATTGATGATGCAAATTCTCGCAGAGGAAAAATGACAGTCAATCAAATCTGGGGAGAGAGGAAGGTGGGTTTGCTATTATGTGCAAGACTTGCCTTTGAGTTTCAGCAGAGCACGAGGGGTTTTGTCACATTACTGTCCCTAGGCACAGTCTCGGGATGTGCCAGAAAAAGTATGAAGAGGTGTGCACAGATTGTGGGTAAGAAAAATATGTGTTCCTTTTTTGAACTGTAGGAAGCATTAGATATAATGTCTGACTGTAGTGTGATTCTTACTGATTTTTACATTCCCTATACCATTTTCTCCAGTGGTGTTGGAATACTTTAAACTTGTACATCATCCAGAACATTATATATGTTACTCTGATTCAGTAGTGAATGCAAAGAGGTTTTCAGTCAGCATGAAAGATATTTTGACTTTTGAGAGAGGTGTTTCTTCATAGAGCATTAAAAGGAAGGTTTTAATCAGAAATGCAAGGAAAGAAGTACAGTGCTGACACATGAGAATTTACCAGGGCAATTCAGAGCTAACATGGCGTAACAGGGTGGTCAAAAAGAGAAGTAATGTTCAAAAAACCTTCACAGGCAGTTCAGGTATTGCATATAGGGAGGATAGTACTTATATAGAAAATACAACCAACATTGTAAGATAGGGATTCAAAAATGGTTCAGATTTTAGTATTTGGTTATCTTCTGTTTTCTCTCTTAAATTGAGATAGACGTGCTTTATGTAGGAAAATGATGTGATTTGAGGAGTAAACCTGCCAAATAAAGGGAATTGTATCGTTTGTACTAACACTTACAGGAAAAGATGTAAGATCAATTTGTTTTTTTATTCTTAGGCTGTTCTAGCTGGTGACTTCATCCTCTCAGCTGCTTCTGTAGCTTTAGCACGAATTGGAAATACTACTATCATCTCTGTTCTAACTCAGGTGATTGAAGATCTGGTGCGTGGTAAGGTCTTTTTCTGTTTTTACCTTCAGATTTGCTTACCTAAGCAGTAAACCCTCAAATAAGCTCTCCCATCTGTGCAACTTTTTAGGTGAATTCCTCCAGTTGGGTTCCAAGGAAAATGAGAATGAGAGATTTGCTCACTACCTCGAGAAGACTTTTAAGAAGACTGCAAGTCTCATAGCAAACAGTTGTAAAGCAGTATGTACGTCTGTCTCTTCTAAAGTTAACATATCATACTGTAAGCTTCACAGCTAAACTCCTAGTTATTGCTGTTTTCTCTGGAGACCCTCCAAAGCAAACCTTTTAAGTGGTATTGTGCCAGAATGTGAATGTGATTGGGATTCTGCATTTTATCACAGTTCAGCTGTGTAGCCTTCAATATTGGTTTTCACTTTTCTATTTTATATTCATACACAGATTTATTATTATCCTCACTTGAATCAAAATAAGGTTCACAGTGGCAGTCTTTATCTTATGCAATTCTACAAATTTGAGAGTGTTTTTAATATCAGTTGATAATTCTTGCTCCTATAATTTAATTTTAAGTCGTCTTTCACATATGGTCCCACTCCTTAGTGCCGACTGGGACTTTAAATGATAACAGTGGGAGGAAACAACTGCTTGTAAAAGAACAGAAGCAGGTACTTCTTGATTTGTCTGGGGCATTTACTTACCAGTTACTATATCCAACCCTATCTGTCACTCATTTCTGTTACTTGATTACAAAAAGATTTGATTCAAGATGGCAATAATCTCACCGCAAAAGAGTTAGAATTTTTAAGTTATTATTTTAGTTAAAGGCAGTATAGCTGGCTATGCTATAGCAAGAGGCAGTTCTAAGATAATTAGACTGATAATCTGTGCTACTGTTAGTCATTCTCCTTTGTTCTCAGAGATTTGGTACGTTTGTGCAATAGATGGGTGCTGAAAATTGCTGAAGTCAAAAGGTTTGTATAGAATGAGAGACAGAGTTTGTGGGAAGGGAAAATATCTACTTGGAGGAAAAAAAATGCCTTCTGGATTGCTCATATTAATGGCAACCTGACCCTTTGCAAATTTTCATTTCTGTAAGTGGGCAATTTGATTAATAAGGAACATCACATATTCTGTTAGCCCAGTGAAAATATACAAGGTTTTATATTCACTTTGACAGTCTTTCTAAAAGCACCCTCACAGATAGAAGAAGAAGAAATCAACTTCCCACTGGGTGGATTCTTCTTACAAATGTACTAGTTTGAATTTTTTCCTTTTTCGTAACTTGAAAGAGTTAAGGACTTAAGCACTTCCAGGCAGATTGTGTCTGTGATGCTGGTGAATGGGGTGTGTGGCTGCTTTTTTTTCTAGTGGTTGTTCTGAGCTGTTCCATTGCTGGATTGCTGGAATTTTACATGTAGTAAAATCTGTAGTATATGAAAAATGAGAGAGGTCTCTCTGGCCATGCTTACTGGACACAGTAGCACTGACTTTTCCCTCTCAGTTTCTTTCTGCATGGATTAGGAGAAGTCTGTTGATAGCAGTGAAAAGGGGATTTAAGGTGGGGAGTGTTTTTTGTTTGTTTGCTTTGATGGTTTTGGCTACTAAGGAAAAGGATGGAATGAGAAAGGAGTTGTTTTCTGTAGCAAAAATAATAAGCAGCATCATCAGCTCTAGACTGAAAAGGAAGCTCACTTGGGGAATCAGGTATATTCACATCTTATTTTCAGGGACAAAGCTAAGGAGAGACTTACTGGTTTTCAGAACATCAGTTACAACCAGGCAAGTGTGTCATTAGAAGCAGTTCAGTTCCTGTTAATGGTAGGAAAAAAACCAATGATTTGTTTCTGTGCACAAATAAGATAGAAGTATTAACTGGAAAGATGTCAAACAAGCTCAGATGGCATCTTAGAACTCTACAGTGTCATGCCTTAGAGCTGGTAGAGTATTCCTGGAACAAGGAATGCTTGTCTAAACAAGGTAATAGTCTAAAACCCTTGGTCTAGTTACTGCATTAGATACCTTTTGCATCTCCAGAGCATTACTGCATTTAAATCAAAAGCCTTTTAAATTAGCAAAATACTTTCTTTATGGACAGAACAGTCTGTTGAAGATGTTGGAGCCATCCCAGTCTCCAGTTTATTTCTACAATAGTTTTGCATGGGGGAATATTACCAGAGTTGCAGTCAAAGTAATACATTGCAAAAGGAAATGGTGGCAGATGGCCCAAAGGATCACTGAAGCCTTAGTTACTGAAAGGCATTTTTCAGAGAAACATGAGAGGTGACTTTGGTTCAAGAATTCAGAAACAATAAAGCTAAAGTGGAATTTCTATTAGTCATCAGGCAGGCTGGAGATGGCAAAATAAGCTGAGCAGGTTCGTTCTGTCTTCTTTTTATCCTGCTGTAATGTGAATGCCTAACCCTCATAAAGCTGTTTATATTTTGCATAGCATACTTCCAGAAGAGGGATTAAATCATGCTTGTTTTGAGATAAGTGTGAAGTTGCACTAGAGATTCTTGGTTTCTTTATTAGGAGAAAGCATGCAGCCTCTCATGTAAGGCAAGGCTGTGTATGGTAGGTCTGCTTAGGGACTGAAGAGCTTACTGCAGCTCTGGCTCAACATGTGCGCTTCTGCTTTAACTTGTTTATAGTTTGGTGTGTGTACAGGGCTCCAGCAGAAAAACCCACCAGGTTGTGGAACTGGTGTCTAGGACGATAAGACCTCTGACCCTCACCAGCCAAACTGATCCCCCCAGTCCAGCTAGGAATGCAGACTACAGTATAGTTCAATTACATATGTAGGGTGATAGTATTGGTGGCATCAAGTATGGTCAGCCAGTAGATTTCCTTATTATTTAAAATACAGTAACTCCTTTGGGGGTGTTTCTTCCTAATGTTTGCTATGAAAAAGATCAGCATAAATATGTCACAGATATTGAGGCAGATAATCTTCATCTCTGTAGAAGTACAGTTCTTCATAATCATGTACTTGGCTTAACATGTTAAAATATTAATTCTTCGTGAAAAGGTCAAATGTATGAAAAAGCAGGCTCAGGACAAGATAGTTGTCTGCCCGTTGTGTAGGCTTCTGCTGGGTAAATATCGTCCTCTCTCGGGTAGGCCTTCATAACCCCCTTTCCAAGAGTAGTTACCAGAAAGGATTTGAAGAGCCTGGAAGAAAAGTGAGGGCTGTGCCCTGCAGCAGTGAAGGGTAAGCACATACTGGGCTGCATTGCTGCCGACATAGCCAGCACATCAGGGAAGTGACTGCTTGCCTCTGTTCAGCTCATGAGACCTCAAGGTTGGGCTCCCTCATACAAGACATTCAGCTCGTGGAGTGAGTTTGCTGAAGGGCCGTCATGATGGTTGGGGGCTGGAGCAAATGATATGTCAAGAGCTGGTTTTAGTCTGCAGTAGAGAAGGCTGAGGGGAGTCCTCTTGCTGTTTCCGGCTGTGTAACAGGAGGCCGTAGAGAGGATGGAGATATGCGCCATGAAAGGACAAGTTGCACCATGGAAAAATTCAGTTCAATTAGCTATTAGGAAACATTTCTCCATGAAGTTGGTCAAAGCTCTAAAACAGGTTGCCCAGAAGGGTGTGGGATCTTCATCCTTGGAGATGCTCAGAACTCAACTGGACACAGCCCTGAGCAACCTGATCTAAATGTGAAGTGAGCAAAGCTTACTTCACAGTGAGTTGCGAAGTGAGCTTCAGAGTTCCCTTCCAACCTTAACTATTCTGTGATTCTGCTGGGAAGAGGAACAGTGCTCCTGTCTGGAAGAACAGTGCTAGATGAGCTGTGAATGAGAAGGCAGGATCCTGATTACTTCAGGAGATGGGCATGGAGGAGAAAGGCTGGAAAATGTGAAGATTTTATAGCCTTTTCCTTTCCATGGTGTCCACAAATCCAGGAGTGTGAAATCAAACATTTCCAGTACTGTTTATACAATCATATCCCCTCACCTGCCCAGCAGCAGGTTTTCCTCTCTGAGCTACAGGGCACTGGTATAGATGTGCAAGTGCCTTAAATTCCAGCTGCCATAGCCTCACATCATAGCTAACAGAGCAGGGTATAGCTACCCTGAGCTGATGGTTTTATGGACGTGAAATTCAGTAAAGAGGCGGGATTGGTTTATAGTCTCCCATGGAACATAAAATAATAGAAACTATTTTTTTTTCTATTTTAAAAAGTGTGTTTGAAATAATGCCAAGCAGATTGACTTGCTGTATTGCTGAATTCAAAGAACCTTTCTGAAGAACTTGTTCTGCTTGGTATTAGGAAGGATTTTTCAGCATGATTTAGTAGAGGACAAGCCTGAATTCTTACAAGATTAAGTCTGTAATCAACCAGTCATATCAGGGGAGCTATAGGATGTTTTCAGAGGGTGAGCTTTATTGTTTAAACATATGTCATTAGATTGATATTGTTATCCTGATGCATGCCATTATCCCAGTATGGCTTCAGTTACACTTCCTCACTCAGTGTCAGCCTGACTGGGCCAAGGCTGCCTGCCTGCATCCTAGTGAGTGTCCGGGTGGGGGCAATAATCCACAAGAGCTATTTGAGAAATGGGCTCCTGAAGGAACTCCCTGTTAGATAAGACCCAGTCATGCTGCAGTTTTATCATGTATGTGGTCATGGTCGTTTCTCACTTAGGGTGTGACAGGCACATCAGTGTCCTCTTTTTGTCTGCAGAAATGTCTGTAACCTCAGTAAGAGCTATGAAGGTCTCCTCTTGCAGAGGTGCAAGAATTCATTTTGCAGTGATGAATTCTGTAACTCACACTTCTGTTTCTTCAGTTGTGTATATGCAGTTCCTTATACAGGTAATGTCTGCATCCCCAGAGAACTGTGTACTTACAGGAATAGCTCTGCCTTTCAGATGAAAAGGGAAAGCTCTGCTCTTTACATGGCACTTCCTCTCCCTATCTACCAACTTGTGCCTGCTCTAACCCTTTGCTATCAATCAGCCAGGATTTTGTCACTACTGAATTCTGTATTCTAGTTCTTTACGTGAAATGTGGGGGTAGGTAAAGATTTCACTAAACGGGGTAGATGGAGTCCCCCTACCTTGCTGATACTTACTAATCTGTATTACAGAAGCAACCAAAAGTTTGGTAGGCATAGTACAGCAGTAGGTGTTGGCTCTTTGGGGCAAATGCTGCTATGTAAGAGGCAAGCATCAAAAGGAATATAAAAAGGGCAAAATGTTCTAGTTTGATAGTCCCTAGCAACATCTATTCAAATATCTCATATTTACAGTTCACTCTGTTTTAGTAGCCATCAGGATTTTGCATGATTAGACATCAGTAACATTTATTTCCTGCTGTACTGTCCTCTTCTAAATAAAATTTGGAAATGTGAGATGCTGTTAATGCCTCAGGCCTCCAGATTCCTCTGGGTTTTAACTATTATCCAGGGATGCACATTATTACTGGGAATTGTTCTGATGCTGAATTACAAAATGCATCGATGCATGAAATAGTCCCTAATCTTGTGCAAATTGCATGACATTTATTACCATATAATGTTGTTTCTTTGTTCCATCTTCATGTTCATCTTCAAAGCTACTGCTGGACTCACTTTTACTATGGGATTGTTTGTGTTTTTCACTGATCCTACCTTACATAGTCTTAAAGAGGAATTTTTATATACACAGACATATTTTAATGTTGTGTGGCTTTCCTAGCATGTATTTTAGTCTTACATTAAGTAGAATGTATCTATCTTCACTCCTTCCCTTAGTCACAGCAGTTTTGGAGTGTGTGCATTAAACCAGAATGGATTTTTGCCCCCTGTTCATAATGGCTTTACTGAAGGCTGAAATAAATCTGAGTATTTAAATATAACCAACCTCATTTTGCAAAGTGTATAATCAATACATAAATGCAGAAGCATAAGTGCCCTTACTTTGAGGCAAGATATTAGTTCTCAAATCTTAGTTTGTCTTATATTTTAGCTTAGTGGGGTTTATGCAGCAAAACTTCTGTCTCTCAAGCAGTTGATTATCTGTACTCAGTTACAGTGTGTTGTTTATCTCAGTGGTACTTCTGTCTAGCTTGGTGTCCTTTCTTCAGTCACTGTCTTGTCTTTGCCACTAACTATCCCTTGATACCTTTGTGAGCAAGCTGATCAGCTCATCTTCCTGAGCAATTCAGTTATCATTAATATCACCCTTAAAATTGATCTTATGACAACTGTCCCTCCTGTACTGGGTGCAGCGCAGCCAGTTTCATGGATCTTCATGAGGCATGTAATGTCCACTTAATCTGTTGTCTGACCTCCAATTATCCCCTGGCTGAGTTATACATGTAATAAATTTAATTCCCCTGCCACTGCACTGTGTATGAGTACTAGCCTGCATGTGCAGTGCACCCACATTTCTTCTCTTTTCATCCTTGCATTATAATTCCTAAGTCTGATAAATATTTAATAAAGCTAATCTCTTTCCAGAAGAATATATTTTTAATACTGCACAGCTGTTCAGCCTTGTTTTCTAATAACCTTGGCTATTTGTGTGTATCCATGAGCAGAGATAAGCAGGAATGTGCTACTGACTCAGCTTTATTTCCTTTTCCCATATCCCTGCTGTCTGTGCTTGCTATGCCACTTCTATGGTGAGAGACTTAAAAGTGGATACTAACTAAAGCTTTCTATTTACTCGGGGTTTTCTTTTTCTTTCCAGGTTTCAATTCTAGGCTGCCCTGATCCCAAAGTTCATGAGATTGCATACCAGTATGGAAAAAATGTTGGCATAGCTTTTCAGGTAGTGCCTTTGTTGAACTAAAGGGAATCTAAAATCTAAACTTTTCCAAACTGCCTTAGAAATCAAAAGTGGGCTCTCTTAATCGTTTCTGTACATCTTCTGTATTTAGCTCTCATTTGCAATTTGTAAATAATCTGTACATTTATCTGTTTCCAGCTAATAGATGATGTGCTGGATTTTACATCATGTGCCGACCATCTGGGGAAGCCAGCAGCAGCAGATCTCAAGCTTGGATTAGCCACAGGCCCTGTCCTGTTTGCTTGTCGACAGGTAAGTCAACGGGAGACTCTATTCCTGAAACAGAAAGTGTACACTGCTCTTCACAGCACACACAGAGGTCCGGCTTGAACATTTCAAGTTTACAGTGTAAGTAATGAGTACATCGTGGGTGTTCAGGATCAGCTGGATTCAGTGTGCACATGAATATGCTTTCAGACTGAGAAACACCTTCCTATACATGTGCTCTCACCATGAAGCCCTTGTATGTATATGTATGTATATGCTGCCCCAGTTCAAGTGCTTAACCTTTGCAGAGGGCCAGGGATTCAGAGTTTTTGCATGTTCAGGTTATTCCTAGGTACCTTCTTCCTTATGATCATCCCTGAGGCATGATCATAAGTTCTCCCAGACTTGACTACGTGCGTAGGCTTTTTGCCAAATTATGGGCTTTGTATTCATCCTGGGGCCAAGAACTTAAATCTTTGCCTAGCTTTTAGGTGGGCACCCCTACTTATTAGATTTGAACTCTTCATTTCTTTGTCCTCTAGTCCTGTGCAGTTACAAACGTGGGGAACTTTCCCTTCTGAAGTTGTAATACTAGTTTGGATGAGAGAAAAAAGGAGTATCATAAATAGAATAAGCTTAAAATTGGTGAAGATTTTTAGTGGCTTAAAAACGACTTGGCAGAGTAGAAGGAAAACAGCAGCACCAAAAGAAACATTAAAATCAGTGCTAATCCATAAATGGGGAAGAAACTGGTTTAATGCATCTTGTTCAAGCTTCTCGATTCACCTGAGGGAAGACGATCTGGGACTTAAACCAATCTTTCCTATCCAGCTTCACAGCACGGTACAAAAACTGGCACACATAGTTCCAGGAGAGCTCTCTAGTCTGTGATCTTGCATTGGAGTTGCTCAGAGCTTGACATGGGAAAAGTTTTAAATGATTAAACAAAGAAAAAAACAAAAGAACAACTTCATAACTTCTCCTCTTTCTTAAAGAGCCTGGGGTAGGGGGAGATGGAACATGTGCACATCTGTTTCCTCAGCCTTTGGGCATTTACAAGGAGAGGTAGCTCGGAGAAAGACAGGAAAGCAGACAAATGCATGCTGAGACCAATCTCCTCCATGTTCTCAGTTCCCCCCACAGACTCCCGTGGGGATTTACAGACCTGTTCTTGAGTCATTATTTCAGAATTCGTTGGTAAACAGCAGGATCTTGTTATTCATCAGCAACTGGGGAGTTCTCTGAAGAGCAGTGAGATACTTGGGTACAGAAAGAGAATGCAATTGTGACATGGTTTGTGTGTTAAAGCTGCTTGCAGAGAGAAACAAGGACATTTGCATGTACTCTTGATTTTGGCAGAGAGTGGGCGACACTGAATGTCTTGTGGGTATTGTATATTACATTTTTTTTAATTAAAACTATTCTTTTATTCATTTGTTTGGGTTGGCTGTCTCCAACTTTCAACTCCATCTATCATTTAATTAGCTTTATGAGAGAAATGAATTCATAATATGGAAATACAAGAAAAGAAAACCTGTCACTTCTATTGCAAATTCTTACTTATTCTTTGTAGGTCAGTTGTAAATGCTTTTCCTCAAGTATATCTTTGCTAGATGCGAAGTATCCATTTTTGCATTGAAAGGTAACTTGACCATCTTGCAAAGTTTTCTGTATTAACCAGAAGGTTGCTTTGCTGAAAATTTCCTGCTGTTTTCAAGCAAGTGGAAGAACAGCACTAGAGGCTTAAGTGATACATAAACCAAGCATTAAGTGCTAAAAAAATTTAGAGCTTCAACAAACACTTTGTGCTGCTACTAAAAGATGCTTCGTCTCCTTGTAGCTGAGAATAAAACCTCTTGAGACTTGAAGATAGTCCAGATTGTAATTGGTAAATACAGGCTGTCTTTTCTGTTGAAACTAATATTACTGCTATCCTGCATACCCTGAATATATCTGGTAATCCTCACATCATCTTCTTGACAAACATACTTTAGTTCTTAATGTGCTCTGGATCTTCTGTGACAGCCGCCTTATCTTCTTGTCCTCTCTCTCTGAAACACATCTTTGTGTGTTAGAATCTTAAGGAGGAGGCTTTATATAAAAAATGTTTCTCTTGATATGAGACCTATTTATTCAGTATTTTAAGTTAGTTCACTCAGTAAAAAAATCCAAAACACCCAAACATTAATTTGTTTTAAGGAAATACACTAGCCTATGCTACGTCTAAAGCCACTGTTAAGCTACTACAGCTGAAGAATGAGGGGTTATTTTTGTTATGCATTCTTGTCAAATCTGCAGAACTGCTAAGAACAGCTTTACGTTACAAGTTTGAGGATTTTTATATCCTTTAGTGTTTAAATATTAAAAGTGAATGTATATGCATCCTATATGATTGTAAATATGAATAATATGAAAATAGATTATATGAATATTGCAATTAAATTGTCATTACATGGGAAGAAAGCTAGGATCTAGAGAAAGCCAAGTATGAGTCACCAGCAGACTTCTAAATGCATCTCCCAAGAAGCCTACCTGTGAATAACAGGGAAATGTCACAACAGGGATGCTACATCTTTAGTTCCTAACAAACACGTGTGTAGATCTACAATTTCAGGCCCAAAGGTGTGCAAGGAAAGCAGATTACTGTTTACAAGTGTATGGCAACAAAATAACCTTTGACTATAATAACCCTTTCAGGCAGGATCAACAGACACCTTTCTTTTAAAGTCTTCTGCGGTGTAGCTGTCTTGAGTTGTGGCCTTAGTTTGTTAAGCGTCAGGTTTTGCTGTTTCTGGACTGCCTGAAGAAGGTGTCTGCATGTTTAGGAAAGACATGCGGTAACTTTCTTAGACAACCGATTTTAGCTATCTACTTGATTTGTAGGGAATTGAGTGTGCAGTACTACATGCAAATTCTATGTGATTGAAAGTAACATACATTATAGTTGTCATTCTTCTCTTACAAAAATCTTTCCTGAGCTTTTCCTGTGTCTATAAAATACTGGACAAATGGAAAGCATAAGTGGAAGTAACAGTTGAAGGTATCATGAAGCATTTTACAGGTTGAACTGCACAATCCAGCTATAACAAACCTCCTGGGTTTGCTGTGGTACGTGTGGGGGAAGAAGTGCTTCTCCAATGTGTCATATTAATCATCATTTGTGAGAGAAGAATACCTGAACAGATTACACACCTAGGAGTACCACTGGATTATCTGCTCAACATGATGAAAGGGCAGGTTTTAACTTTCCCTACCAGCTGGTTGCAGCCAGAGCCAGACAGTTTTAAGTTTTAAATGCTTGGGCTTTACTGCACTACAGTCCTGTGCAGATCACAGGTACTTACCTATAGCTATATCTCTAGTAACACCAGTGTCAGAGGAGGGGGTCTCTGCTTTGGTTACTTTTTGACCTTGGCATAGGAGGGAGCAATAAATTCACAAGCACTACAAAACCTCCTTCCTTTGTGCTTAGTTTCCAGAAATGAATGCTATGATAATGAGAAGATTCAGCAAGCCAGGAGATGTTGAACTTGCTCGGAAGTATGTGTTGCAGGTAGGACTGATAACCAGGTATTTCATTCCTAAAGTGCTGTCCCTGCTGAAGTCAGTCTGAAATTCATTGCCTCTGAAGTAAAACAGCAGGGCTGCATTTTCAAATCCATGTTAAGTAGCATGCTGTGTACAATACTGAGTTAGTACTCTTCAACTGTCTTACTGGTGATGGATGCTTTTAGCAGAAATGCTAGGTACTGAAGAGCTTTTTTTTTTTTCTTTTCTTCCCTCCAATAGCATGAAATCCACACAATAAAAGTTAAAAGCTCATGCATGAACTCAGTTCCTTCAGCTGAAGAGTAGCTGTATCCAGCAACTGGTGTAAGCGGCATGTAATACCAGTCTTGGAACTGCAGTACACACTCCGTATCAGTTTAAATTTACTCTGGTCTGCAAAGACTGAATAATTGTGCAAAATAAATACATACTTTCTCAGGAAAGCTTTTTTTTTTTTTATATCTCTATTTAGGGCAGGGGGGAGAGGTTAAACTATTAGTTCCTAATCCTACTGAATAGTATGTTATTAATTCCAGTGGTGTTTGTAAGTATATTGAAGTTTAGCATGGGTAAGTTTTAGTATTTTGACACTTTGGAGAAGAGATGAAGGATTCAATGAACACAGAATAAACCTCTTCCTTTACCCTTCAGAATATAACTGAGTGTTTAGGGTACACAGTGACTGTAAAACTTCTCCATAACTGGAGGAGGCAGGAGGGAGGATAATCAGTTACCCATTACCTTTACCTGTCTTCCCACATAAGAGTGATGGTGTGCAGCAAACAACCTACCTCGCCCAGCGCTACTGCCATGAAGCTACACGAGAGATCAGTAAGCTACGACCATCCCCCGAAAGAGAAGCCCTCATCCAACTGACAGAAATGGTGCTCACGAGAGACAAGTGAGAGAACTCCTTCCACTCGTTCTGGCAGCTATTTACCAGACTGTGCCTAAATTGACTTCTAAAGTTATTTGCTTCCAACACATGCTACCAAAAATTATTTTTTTAAAAACTTTTTTTTTGGACGTTTTTTTTTAAAGAAAAAAAAGTTTAAAGTGTTTTATTGTGGGAAGCCACAGTTCAGAGCAAATCAGACTATGCTGTACAATTGTTTTAGTGGGGGCTGTTAATTGGGGGGGAGTGGGGAAGATGTTTACATGTTGATGCACAAAGGCCACAATAAGAATAAATATGTATCAGTGTATGAGAACTGAAGTTGTTCCAGATTTCACTTGTTGGCACCAATAAACAGAGAATGTATGGTACTATATAGGAAAGTCATAGGAAGGTAAAGGGGTTGAAGGCTTTCCTGGCTGTTAAAATAGGAATACTTGTAATTGTATATTAAGAAATCAGTTTATTGTAACAGACTCTATGTGGACTTCAGTGAGAAGTTTTCCAGTTCATAATGAAATACAGGTGTGCTGTTGATTGCTGCTTGGTAGCAGTTAGGATGCAGAATTTAAGAGTGCTACAGTTAAGAACTCCCACTAAAATTCAGCAGCCAGTGAAAGTTTCAGCTCCATCCCCCATTTACAGAATAGATTCAGTACTCTCCTAGAAGCCTGCTTTGAAGTCCTAGACACACTCCTCTTACAGTAGTTATCCAGTACCACCACATTCCTTCTCAGGTTATTTAAGCCACAGAATTTATGGAGCAGGGAAGTGCATCATCTCTATCCATGATCCCTTAAGGCAGTGGCTAAGTTCCTGCTGAGTTCGTCACCCCTTTGTCACATCTTGAAGGCAGCCTGCCGCCTCTTCTCACTAGGCACATCACCAAGCCAGACAGAGTTTCCTCTGGGAAACATCAGTTACAGATGTCCAACTTCCTGCATCCAGATAACTAGATTCAGTCAAGAATCCTTGCTAAAATTAATTTGGGAAGACAAGAACTTTTAAGAGTATGTATAAATGTGTAATTCAGGTTTCATATCTAATTTATTCACCCTCTGTCAGTGATAAAGTCACATTACAAACATTGCTTTTTAGTACATTGCCTGGGATAACACAGCTGTGATTTTGCTACGTTAGCATTCCAAACTTCTTTGCCAAGCCAACCAACAAAGTACTGGACAAGACCTTTGGTTCACTTATATATTTATGAATGGAAAAAGTCATAATGTAAATTTACTCATTAAAAAAACTTGGGTACAAATTACACATACATAAGACCACCCATTTTTTGATTCACATGGACACCTTAGACCCAAACAACTCATTGAAATAGACTTTAGTGAAATACTCCAGGTAAAGATTACAACAATTGGAAGCATCTTGGATTTTTAAAAAAGTATATTTCAATACATAAGTTTGTATGCATGCTTTAAACAAATATAGTTCAAGAATGAGCAAAGAGTCTAAACAAAAAGTAATATGACCAGCACTAACATTAAACTTCTCATCCAGATTTTAATATGTTAGTCTAACGTAGTGTTAGTTACCATGCTGTACTGAAAAATGTAATGGCACAATCTGATCATGGTTCATTAAATATTATACCCTACTTCCCCAGAATATTTAGGCTGGTCATAAAATTAACAATGCATAAGTAAATAAGTATAACCAGTTATAGACAGTTGCTTGTTTTACAAATTGCCATCAAGTAAGACATACTGTCTCCAGAGACTCTGAGAGATGGACATTCAATCATACCATTAAAACAAACAGTATGGCCTGAAGAAATGGGCACATTTTTATTTGAAAGTATATTAAGACAATTCTGTTAGCTTTAGTTACCCTTGTAAATAATCATGGTATGACTGAATACAAGACCCAACTTGGAAAAGCAAAGGATTTTAATCGGCATAGTGCATGATTGATTCAACGTAATTCCCAGGAAACAAGCCAGTTACTCGATTGCAAACTCCTTCATACCAGCCGTCATCATTCTTCTTTATCACATAAATGATTGCACCCTCCATAAATGACAGCTCATCGTCTTTGTCCTTTGTATAGTCATATATAGCAACAACTGTGGATTGAACAGGGACACATTTAGCATTTTATTCATAGCACCGGCATTAAAGAATAATTGTACTTCAAAAAAATGTTACAAGTTTGCTATCCCGAGATCTTCCATAACCAGTTCATATGCTCTCCCTCCTGTAGTTTACGTCCAGAAGATAAAATTTCACTTTTCTCACAATATTAGGTACCAGTAAGAAGCAGGTGGTCACTATACTTAAAAGCTCAGCTGAACTACTGACAGAGAGGTACACTTGACTGCAACTCAGTAAAGTGAAGTGTACGGACGCTTAAAAGCCAAACTATGATATAACTGGCTCCATGAGTGTGGCATCATTTCTGGTCAGATTACCTCAAAAGCATATAGATCCCTGGACAGAGATCTCTTGATGAGAGAAAGCCTAAAGAAAACCCCAAATTAAATAAATAATTCTGTAGAAATGGACCAACAGAAAAAAGTTCTACGCTATGGGCCCTGCAGCTCTATAGCGTGTACTTCAGCACATCCTCCTGTGAACAGATGCTGAACACCACTGGACGGAAATGGATGCTCTTTGTGACAGAGCTCCTCTGCGGTAAGAGGTTTTGGTGTAACTTTTCAAAGAGCTGCAGTGAGTTGTAAGCACTAAAGTTACTGCAGGAAAAAGCAGAAGTGAATTTACAGCAGCAACAACTATTTTTCAGTACCTACTTGATGAATGTATTACTCTTCCCAACCTCCAACTCACTGTGTGCAATTAACAAAGATCTCCCTAAGTCACCCCCAATAAGACTGTAATTAAAAACTACCACTGTGAATACACAAACTTTGGACATCACAGTCTTGCCCTTCTAAACAGTTAACATGGCTTTATGCAATTGATCCGTTTCATGAATTTCAAAAGCCTACTCACTTTACATACATACACATACGCTCAGAAATCCGATGTGTTAACGCCTAGCAAATAATGATGTATCAGTTACTGTCACCCCATGGGTACTTGTTGCATGCAGTCCAGCTAGGAGCACAGATGGAACATGGGGGTTCCGCTGGGACGGGACAGGACAGGACAGGGTGTCAGGCATCCTCCCCCATCTCACAGGCACTACCATACCAGCCAGACCATGGGAAAGCTGGCATCCTTGCTGTTTACAGAATGGTGGTTGTCAGAACACAGACAACTCTAGAGGCAGGAAATTGGCATCTCAATTATTCATGGGAAGAGACATTTACTGTATGAGTTCATACCTAAGTAGACTTTATAGTCTGCTGATCCAGAGTCACTAGGAAGTCTCCAAGGAAGCCTCACTGCATCTTATAGTTGAAAAGTCTAATGATCTACTCCAGCTACCTAGTTTGATGGAATAAACAGCCCAGACTTCCTGGCCTTTCTGCAACACTATTTCTAGACAATTGCCATCAATCCTGAGATAGCTACAGACACAGTCCAGCAGCTCATCAAAGATGAAAGCCATCCCATCATCTGCTCCTCATCATGACAAATTTCTTTTTTTAATCCATTCTAGAATGCTTGAAGGTATTTTATAATCCTTCCAGAGCAGGATTATATTTTATCACATTAGGTGTAGCCACAGACAAGCAAAAGAATGATCTGAGTTCTGACTTAGCAGGGATAATGATTGTTTTCAGACCCAAGCAAAGCCCTCTGTTCCCTTCAGATACCATTATCTCCTTATACTGCACTAACAGAGCTGCAACACCTCTCTTACCTTTCTCTATATAGTTTTTAGGTGCCCAGGCAGGATCTCCATCTGCATAGGGATCGCTGTACTGCACGACAGCGGCCTCCTCATCCTCATAATCCACAGGAGGTGGGGGTGGAGGAGGAGGAGAGTCATCGAACATCGGCATCTCATCGGGAGGCGGTGGGGGGGGAGGAGTCGGGCTATCAGCAACTAGAAACATTTGGAGATTAGTTTTTTCCTTCAAACCAGAACAGTGTGGAAATGCAAACAAACCTGAGGCTGTATACTGTAAATAAACAGGGTGGGGGGACAACACACAGCATGCACTACAACACCATGCACTGATTAGAAACAGAGGCTTTGTATTAACAGCTATGACACGCAACTACATTATTATTAGTGGTCAAATCTACGTATAAATGCTACTAGAGTCAAAGCACATGCTGCAGGGCGTAAGCTGAACACCAGCAGAGAGGCAAGCTTCCTGCCCCGACGCCCATGCGCTATGGGGCTAGCTGCAGTGGTTAGCTATGGGAGGACTCCGAGTGGCACCCTCTGAGCCAGGCAGCAACAGGCCTCTGGGCTGGACCAGCAGCTTGATTATTTTTTACCAAATCCTTCATCTACAACAGTCAATTCAATTTATTTCTGAACACTGTTTCCTTGGATTCCTTCTCTCTCAAAGTAGCATTAAGGTGACAAAGAGATCCAGTGTGCATCATAGAAGAAGGGAAGGGAGACTAGTGTTTTAAGATTTAACCAGGTAAGAGAAAACCAAGAAGAAAAGCTTTGTACAGATCCTTATCTTGCGGCCTAGCTTGTGTCCATAATGTGCACATATGTGCACATATCCAGGATTCAGTTAATAAATGGAAAATCTACAACAGGCAGCTGCTGCTCTTGGGGGGAAAAGTGCTGAAGAATTAAGTGTATAATCCAAAATGTCAAATCCCTGCCCTGAGATTCTCCAATCAGCACAATCACAGGTTGCTTCAGGAAAAGGAAAAAGAGAAAGACATTATGGCACAAAACACTCTTAAAATCAGCTCATTAAATTAGGTTTTGGTCACATTCACAGCAGCTAGCAGCAAAAGAGATGCAAGACATCAAGTCACTTGTCCTATTCCTTGGGAATTGTGGTCCACTAAACATGGACCTAGGTGTAGGTACTATGGAGCCAGAAGTTACTGAAAGGAAGCTATTGTCACTATACTCAACTATTAGCAATACAGATTTAATTATACGAGATTTGGGAGTCTGCATGTTGAAAACAGGCTAAAAACCACTGCTCTGGAAATGGTTTGACTCAAAGGAGCCATCAGGCTGTGCACATGCTCCAGAAGGTGTAGCTCCAGCACATAACCACTAATTTTAAGAAGAAAGCCAAGCCGCAGGGCAAGGACGGAACAATACTGAGAGAAGCTTTAGCTACTGCTAGTTACAATGGCACTGCAGATTAGCAATCAGGCTTCTGCTTGCTTTAATGCTCTTTACTTTCACCTGGCCAGCACTCCATCAAAGACTGACCCTTGCTCTTCAGCCATATGACAAGGGGCTTGAGCATAGCTCCCATGTCCTAACTGGGTCAGACTAGCTGCACTGGTATAGGGGAAGCCAATTCTCCAGCTGCAAGGGAGCTGAAGCCAGCAGGAGGTGCTGGGTCAGAGGCTGCCTCAGCCCTGGCACCTAGCCTGCTCTCTGCCCCTTGACAAGCTAGTGCTATTCTTCACCCTGAAGCCCAACTGCTCTTCAGCTTGACCAGCTGAGCTGTATACCACACAGCTCTCTCCATCAGTAAGACTGGATGCCACTCTATTAGCGATTCCTCTCCCATACAGAAGCCCATTTATGTCATTTGGAGACAAACTAACAAAGTCTTTGGCTGAGTGAATGCTACATCTTGACTACATTACTGAACAGCACTCACAAGCAGGCTTCATTAATCCACCACAGACACGTGACAATGCTGTTTATGAATAGATGGAGTCTGTGCAGTAGTTTCAGCACATCTTTCACAAAATTTATTTCTCTCCTTAATTTCTGTCTGCAGCCAGGAAAAAACTCAGTACTGAGACAACAATCATGTGTGATCTTAAGAAATCCTTAAGAAATGCAAAAAGTTGTATTTATTCAACAACGAAGCTTGTTATTTGAAAAGAGGGCAGAAAATGCAAGTGCGAAAGCACCAACATGGACCCTAACTGAAATGCAGTGCAGAAACTGCATGCTTTACAGGAAAGCATTTGAAACAGTT